TGCAAGAACATTTACCTGCTTATTGGCTGAGTAAAGAAAGCCATAAGATGTCCTGAGCCACACAGACCTGGTCTAAAAGGATTTAGTCTTTGTCTATTTGTGCAGCTCTTTACTGGAAAGATGACTTAACAGTTATTTGGCTTTTACAAAAGGACACTTAAGCATATTTGAGTTTTTCTCTAGAAAAGATTCATCCTACGCCTACATTATTGTAGTTTCTAGTAGCGTTATCTTTACGCTTGGTTTATGCTAAACACCAATTAGCCATAGCATCAAAACCACCTCCTTGTATCTACACTCATTGTCCATGTTATCAGCTCCACTGACCAGTTTGTAGTCTGTTCTTCAATGGTCAGGGCCCTCACAGAATAGGTACTATTTGGGTGGTGGATCATTCTCAGCACTGCAGCACTGCTGTGTCTGATCCACTCGTACCAGCACAACACACACTAACACACCACCACCATGTCAGTGTTACTGCAGTGCTGAGAATGATCCACCACCCAAATAATACCTGCTCTGTGAGGGCCCTGTAGGGGTCCTGACCGCTGAGGAACAGGGTGAAAGAGGACCACTGACTTATACAAAATGTCAGTTTAAAAACAAAATTTTATTTTACATTTTTTATGCTTTTTTTTTCAACATTTTTCCTGCATCGTCATTTGGTTTGTGTGTTTCCACAGCTACAGCGGTTCAGATGATTTCACCCTCAGAGCCAAAAACCAGAGAAGATTTTCTACAGTGTATGTACACAATACACACACACTCACACACACACACACACACTCACAAACACACACACACACACACACACTCACAAACACACACACACACACAGATACACAATACACACACACACACACACACACACTCACAAACACACACACACACACAGATACACAATACACACACTCACACACACACACACACACTCACAAACACACACACACACACAGATACACAATACACACACACACACACACACACACATACAAACACACACAGATACACAATACACACACACACATACACACATACACACACACTCACAAACACACACAGATACACAATACACACACATACAAATACACACACATACAAACACACACAGATACACAACACACACACACACACACACACACACACACTGATACACAATACACACACACAGATACACAATACCTACACACACACACACATACAACCACACACACCCAGATACACAATACACACACACACACACATGCAAAACTGTTATTTGAAAAGCTGAATATTGCCTTGATTTGATATTGGGCAAAGTTTAATACACAAATATATTTTTTCAGAAACATGAAAAACATTTAGTAACACTTCACTGCAGGGCAGTGTTCATAAGGCTACATGACACCTACATAAGCCTTTAATGACAACTGACATAGATCTATATAAATATTAATAAATACTTATTCCAATATTCATCCTTTGCCGTAACGGTTGAACTTTGATGCCCAGTTGTCATCACATCTATATCAGGCCTCCTAACTCCAGGCAGAGTTCTCAGAGTTCAGGAAAAAAATTGTCACCTCACATAGGAGTCATATCAACTTGACCTCAAGGTCGACAGCCTTAATGATAGACGCCTGTTTGAATAATCCTTTAAAAATGGTTATGTAGGTTTTTCAGCTGAGCTTATGTAGGCGTCGTGTAGCGATATGAACACTGTCCTACAGCAAAGTCCTGCTGAAAATTCCTTCATAAAACCTTGTTTTGTTTGTTAGACTTCTGTCGTCTGACTCTGGATCCCAACACAGTGAATCAGAACCTCAGTCTCTCTGAGAGGAACAGAGTGGTGACCAACAGTAGGAGAAGCCAGTGTTACTCTGATCATCCAGAGAGATTTGACATCTGGAATCAGGGGTTGAGTAAGGAGAGTGTGAGTGGACGCTGTTACTGGGAGGTTGAGTGGAGCAGCAGAGGATATGAGGTGTCCATATCAGTCGCATACAAAGGGATGGGCAGGAAAGGACGGGGTAATGAGAGCTGGGTTGGACACAACAGTCAGTCCTGGAGTCTGCAGTGTTCTCCCTCTCTCTCTTTCTATCACAACAACATTCAGACTAAGATCTCAGCCTCATCCTCCTCCAGAATAGGAGTGTATGTGGATCACAGTGCAGGAACTCTGTCCTTCTACAGCGTCTCTGACACAATGACCCTCCTACACACAGTCCACACCACATTCACTCAGCCTCTCTATGCTGCGATTGGGGTTGATAGGGGATCATCTGTAAAGTTCTGTGATCCAAAATAATGTATCTTAAAAATACTATGGTTTGGAATGGTTGGAAGAATAGTTCATAAATATTGCCACTAGGGCTATCAGGACCAGCTGACCTACAAGGGACCAGCGCCATCCTGAGGCAGACCAGTGCTGCATTCCTAGTTAGTTAAGAATTTCGAGATGGAAGCTCACATATTGTGGGTGAAGCAGCTAAACAATGACCTTTCCCTGAATTTGAAATGTGAGCATCTATTTTTCCCTAATCGACAACAATAATGTAATAGGGTCGTTTTCAAGGACCCCCCCAGAATTTTGATTTTGAGACATTCAGGGGGTTCAAGAGGTTAATTAGGTGGTTCCAGACCCCTCAGTACCCCCTGTATTATACACCTTGTTCCTGCAGGACCCAAGCCAACCATAAACTTGTTCAGGATCTGAGTCTGACTGGAATAAAACCACGTTCATGCTCTTCTGGCAAATATTGAAAAACTGAGCTGAACCTGATATTGCCACAGTCTGTATTCACAACACAAAAGGGTGCTACTTTTTGGCAGAAGTAACTGGCTAAATGAAAGCACACTCGATAATGTGTTTGAGACTCCTTTTTTCATTAGAGAAGCAGAACTGTTTCTAATATTTTATCTAAATATTTTTTCCTATAAATTTCATTTTTAAACATACTTTTGTCCACTTATGAATATGTATGTTTTTGGGACATGTTGCACATATATATTGACATTATGTAATAAAATTTGAAGTGAATATATGTACTGAAATTAGATTAAATAACAAACAAAAGCTCCTTGAAGTGAAAGACACCACACCAAAGATTACTGGACAACACAAAGAACAAAAAAGACAATCAGGACATTCGGAAATGGCTTTTATTTGTCTCTTTGATTTGTTGCTATGAATGAGCCTTATTCTCCAAACCCAGGACATCTCCAGTTGCTCTGTGGAAGCGTAATTCTAGCAGTGAGCAATAAAACAGACATCTTTTCCATCCTTATCTCTGAGCTTTTCTCTGTCATATAAGATAAAATGCAGTAAAACCCTTTCTTTCCTCCTGTCAGTTTTATGTAGTTTATGCACCATGTATATATGCATAATGAGGAAAAATCGTCCTGGCTTTTGTTACAAAATCAGAAGAAAATGCCCGACATCACTCATCTGTGGATCTGTGCAATCATGCATTATTATTACACTCTTAACCAGAAACCATGTACTCGATAAGCTTCACGTTTGGCAATAAAACAATAAAACAGTCAATATAAAAATGTTTTATAACAGTCCTTATTAAAAAAAAGTTTCATCTGTTGTTGAATTTTTTATCAAATAAAATAATGTCTTTGACTTAGAAATCACTGTAGACATCTTACAAGATATTGTGACCACCAGGACCCTGGACTTAAATTCAACACAAATACAGAAACATAATTAATTAAATCTAAATTTAATATAGTACAAAGATAAGTTTAGATAAATGCCAGTATTTGCAAACAAAGAATCTGACAAGTTAAGCCTGAGGGCTGAAACTGACATTCAATCCATAGAAAAGCAAGAAAAAGCAGCATTTGCATGACACTGAAGCTCCAGTTCTACAGTCTGAGGCTGATGTGTACGGAGCCCCACTGGTGACATCCTGTGTGAATAAACATAATGTGTGGCCACGACTTAGCAAGGCATGATCTCATTCCCACGCCTAATTCATGGTCATGACTTAATTATCTCATTCCCACGTCTTACTAATTCATGGCCATGACCTAATTATCTCATTCCCATGCCTTACTAAGTCATGGCCACGCATTAGGATCTCATCCCCACCCCTTACTAAGTTGTGGCAACTGAAGCTCTAGTTCTGCAGAAAACTATACAGTCTAAGGCTGATGTGTACGGAGCCCCACTGGTGACATCCTGTATAAATAAAAGTAATGTGTGGCCACAACTTAGTAAGGCGTGGGAACAAGATAATTAAGTCGTCGCCACGACTTAGCAAGGCATGATCTCGTTCCCACGCCTAATTCATGGTCACGACTTAATTATCTCATTCCCACGCCTTACTAAGTCGTGGCCATGCATTATTTGAATTTATACAGGATGTCACCAGCAGGGCTCCGTAGATGTGTGTACAGTCATATGCTGAAGTTTGAACACTCCCGGTCAAAATGACGTTTTCTTGATTTTGTCAGTGAAAATAAGTGAACACATCCTCTACAGAGACACACTTAAATATGACGTTTTTCCGCACAAGTTCTATTTATTTGCTGAGTTTAACATATTGGAAAACAATAAAATGTGTAATAAGTTTTGCACGGTTTTATTTTTTCTCAAAAATATGTTAAATTCAGCAAATAAGCAGTATTTGTTCATTAAAACGTGCAGTAATGTGTTCTCTGTAGAAGACGTGTTAACATCTTTACACGTTAAGGTAACGTTACCTTTGTCCAGGGGTGCACAAACTTTTGCATTTGACTGTATAGGAGTATTTACTAAAGACGCCATGATGCATTTATTAAAACTCAAAAAACAAAGGTAGCAAACTCAAAATGCTGTGCAGAGAAGTGATTCTCATGAAAACTTATGGAAGCCAGAAATTCTGTCCTGCTCATAATAATGTCACAGTAAGTGCATTTCTAACCAACTTCCACCTTTTTTCAAATGAACCATGTGGCTCATATTCATAATAGCAACATAATTATTATTATTTTACCATTGACTATCAAATCCAAATATTCAGCCAAATATTCAGCAGTCTGGAAAAGCTTGTTCAGAAGCCTCGGGCAGATTTGCTAACATATAATCTTTGGCGCCCTCTAGTGAAACTGGACTCATTCTGAAGCTTGGTCGCAGTAATTCATGGATTTCTAGAAATGACTGTCTGAGAAGAGTTTCAACTGCGTGAAATCAAAGTGTCAGGCCTGAGGAATAGAAGGTTAGTGGTCAGAGGAGGGGCATCTGCTCGTAAAGCTGCAGGTCGAGGCGAACTCTGACCTCTCCTGTGGGAACCTCGTGGAGCAGCAGCCGCCGAGTCAGCGGCCCTTTCCCCTCCTGGTCCTTCTTTATGGTCGCCACGGGAACCTCCGTACGACCCAGGAAGTCTGAAAACGCAGCACATGCATACTTAAAGTCGAACATTCATGTAAATATTGTCACAAACGAGTTGTGAGTTTTAAGATTGAAGCAAAGGAAAAACAGATCTTAATGTTTCCAGACATGTTCCTGCTTAACATGTTTAAACCCTGTCTGGCTTTACATTGAGTGTGTTTACATGTACTCAATAATCCGATCATAACTGTATCTCTGCAATTATCTGATTATTCAAATTGTCATGTAAACAGTACACTCTGATTTCTAAGATCGGAGTAAGGTCTGGAAATCTGATTAAGAAATCTGATAAAGAGAGCTGGATTTTAGCTCAGTAATCAGATTTCTCAGTGCATGTGAACTCTTACTCTGATTTCTTTCGGATTTCTCAGTCTGAGCATGTGCGAAAACAGACCGCGGTACTGGAAACAATCAAGCAGCGTCACCACGAGACGCAGCAAAACACTTTTGGAGCGACGCTGAAACCAAATACATGCTTGATGAAATGAGGGATTTAAATATTCTTCATCTTCTAGATGATGTATGTTCATATTTTCAGCTAACGTGGCAAGAAAAGAAAAAAAGCCGTGAAGTTTTACGTTACAGTTACGTCACGTCCTTTACCGTGAGTTTATTGGCTGGTTGCAGAGGAGAAATCCGATTGCTGTCTGACTCATGTAGACCTGGAGTTTCCCCATTATCTGATTACCTAAGCGCTCGTAAATATGCTGATCAGATTACTGACAAAATCTGATTTTCTGTAGTTATCAGATTATTGAGTCCATTTAAACCCTCTCATTGTGAAATGTTCATGCAACTGTAGTTGCTTGAAACCTACATGAAACTAAATTGCACTTGAGTTGCATAATGCATTCGAACCTCAGGCACAACAGTTGCGTGCGGCTCAAGCAAGTTTCATGAAACAGCTAATCAAAATGCAGATGAGGCATCACATGATCACAAATGTGGCCTGTGCAAAAGTTATGGCACACTTTGTATTTTGTATTTTATATTTATATTTTAAAGCAAATAAATAGAAACTGCCCCCAAAATGTATAAAAAAACACCACATTTAAGTTCTAAGGGTTACTCCTAACCCTCCTCCTTTGACTTCTAAGGGTTAAAACTGCATGCTGTGTACTTGCCATCAGGAGAGAATTGGTCACGCTCGAAGATGGTGATGCACAGGACGTCTTGGTACAGGTCTTTAATGAAGAACTGGCAGTTGAAGTTCCACTTGGGGTTAAGCGTGTCGTTCTGAGGCCGAGAGGTGTAACACTGCGCTCCCATAGACAGCTCACAGTACGGGTTACTCTTACCTGCAACGCCACAAACACGACACATTGTGTGCTGTCACTCGTGTGAAGCCAAATCACAGCCGTGATGTTAACTCACAATAACACACGGCCTACAGCGTTCTATCGCTTTCATACAACAGCTGTGCAAAGAAAAGAAACCCTGAACATTATTTCAAATGTACACTAATCCGGCATAACATTATGACCACCTCCTTGTTTCTACACTCATTGTCCATTTTATCAGCTCCACTTACTATATAGGTGCACTTTGTAGTTCTACAGTTACAGACTGTAGTCCATCTGTTTCTCTGATACTTTGTTAGCCCCCTTTTACCCTGTTCTTCAGTGGTCAGGACCCCCATGGACCCTCACAGAGCAGGTACTATTTGGGTGGTGGGTCATTCTCAGCACTGCAGTAACACTGATGTGGTGGTGGTGTGTTAGTGTTGTGCTGGTCTGAGTGGATCAGACACAGCAGTGCTGGCACATGGGATGTAGAATCTATATTATTCTACATCTCATGTGTCTAACACAAGGCCTGTGGGCCAAGTCAGGCCCGTGACACAGTCCTATTCAGCCCGCGAAATTAGTTTAATTTTCTATTCTTATTAGCACGTTTCACCCTGAGATGCACTACAGTCCCCAGCATGCACTGCAACATAGTGTGCGTTCTATGGGCCAGCAGTTACACAAAAGGAAAAGATGCCTGGAGTCCAGTTCAAGCAAAGAAGCAGTTTTAAAACAACTACTTAAAACAATTTATTTTTATTTAGAATTATTTCTGAATATGTTTTCAGTGCCTATTTTGCTGTTGCAGTTTTGGCATATTTTGAATAAACAAGTAAAGTAAAAAGTAAAAATAAGTAAAAATGAAGTAAAAACACAGCTGGCCCACAGATTTGCTGAGATTTTTTAATATGGCCCTTTAAGTGGGTGAGTTTGACACCCCTGTTCTACACTGTCTTAAGTTTTAAGTGGGGAAATTTAACTTAATACCGCAAAGCTTATACTGGCAGCCTGGCATTCAAGCCTCACTGATTGTGCTGGTCTTCTCAGTGAAGCTTATTTTATAGAAAAAAAAAATCATTATATATTTTCTCCTAATTGTTCAGCCCCAGCTGATATTTTGGTCGCTGATGTTCAGGTCAGGGTTGGTTTAGGTGGAGCACAGCAGCATTCAGTGGTGCATCTGTAGATAGTCAGTTTCTCTCACCGTTAGGCTTGCAGGGTTTCAGCTCAACAGCCTCCTGAACTGTTACCAACAATCGTCCAATACCGCTTGTCTTCTGAGAGCGAGCTGTAAAACAGATAGAGGAATCTGAAACTCAGCGCTCCTCCTAAACACCACACACATGATCAGAGTTAGAGTGCAGACAGAAGGGATATTTTATTAGCCCTAACCTTGGTACGCCTTCTCTCTCTTCAGCTTCTCCGTCTCTATGAAAAGCTCTGAGGCTGCTTTGATTCGCTGGACCCAGGCGGTCCTAAACAAACAACAGATCAAAAGGACAACAGTCAATTTACAGTGTTGGTAAAGTCTTGGGGACCTCGTGGGACTTAATAAAGTAAAACTGCTTTCGTGAACTTTATGGATTCCGTTATGTAAATCAGGGGCCAGCTGCACCAGCTGGACGCAAGTTCAACTGGAGGCTAGTTTTAGTGTTTTAACTAAGTTCAGGTTTAAGCATCACTATGTCGAAATGGACTAGTTTTAATACTGAACTTAGTAGTTACTAAATATTGACGCCAACCACTGAGCAGGTGCTATTGCAAAAAAAATAAATAAATATTTGCAACAACATTGCATTCGCTTGCAACAGTTTTGCATTCCCTCACAAATGTTTGCATTTCTCTTGCAACAGTTTTGCATTTCTCTTGCAACAGTTTTGCATTCCTTTGCCAATGTTTTGTTCCCTTGCAATAGTTTTGCATTCTCTTGCAAAATCCATTGTATTTGCAAGGAATGCAAGGAATGCAATATCATTGCAAGGGGATGCAAATCATTGTGAGGGGAATGCAAAATTATTGCGAGGAAACTCAAAATCTTTGTGAGGGAATCTAAAATCATTGCAATTATTGCAAGAAACGTAATGCCAATACCTTCAGTTTTATTTTCAAAACTATGGCGATTTAGGGGCTTCATAAGTGTTGGGGAAACATTACTGTTTTGGTCAACTAAGCTAAGAACACTAAATTCTTTGCTGAGTAGACATTGTAACGTTCTGTCATGTAAGAATTGTGCTTAATGAAATTGATCCCAATTCATGGCTTTGACATTAACCCAGACTTATTTCCAGTCACTGTAGCTGTCCCTACAGCTGTCGATACATAAAGTCCCAGGGGTCCAGCAGGGGGAAGGGGGTCTCCTACCCACATTCAGAGCAGAAGGAGGAGGCAGTGCCACAATAATAGAGCACCCTTATTAGAATCGAATGGTGCCTGGAGCTTTCCACTCGAGCTGTATGTGTGTGTGCGTACCTCTCATTGATGCTGTCAGCTTTCAGCGTGTATACACGGTCGATGTGTGAGATGTGAAAGATCGGGTCATCGCTGGAGGGGTCAGACGGCATTTTAACCAGCACTTCATTCAAGAACACAGGCTACAGGGAAAGAAATAAAGACACATTATCTTTCTATTATATACACCGAATGTGGAAACATTAACTGTATTGTTAGATGGTAGGTGTGCTAAAGTTAGCCTCATAGCTAATGTAGCTATACAAACATTGACAGCTAGTTTCCTTTACAGATAGTTTTAACAGATTTGCGCTGAGTTAAAGGTAAGATCACTATAAGCAATATACGCAGTTGCTTAGGGCCCTTGAAGTCCCTAAGATACACAAGTATCTATGTTTTTGATTAATATTGTTTAATCAATATTAACCAATTTTTTTTTTCTTACAAAAAACAAAAGCAGAAATGATCCACTTGCCACCTGAACACACGCTGTAATTCATTGCTTTCATTTATTTCATTCCATTAATTTGCTGCAAAGGGCTTGGCTCACGTTTAGCAGTATATAAATGCTCCACAAGGGGGCGCCAATAGCAGTCAAATTGATTTTGATGTCCATCAAGGCATAAGTGCAGCGCTTTGCATCAATGACACTGTGTGTCTTGTTTATTTATTTATATATTTTTATAAGCAATTCAGTTGTTTCAAGTCTATTTTTCCTCTACACTGCTCACTATTGTTTTATCATGTTTACTTAGTATTTATTTGTAATTTTTCCCTAGCAAAATTAAGCATTAATACATTTTTTTCCATCCTTGCATACACATTATCACCGGAGTGTCTACCAGAAAGATGCGCCTTAGAGCCCCATCGTTAAAAACAACTTAATTTCAAGCTATTTTGGGCATTTTGTGCACTGCATGCAACAAATGGTCCCTGTGTTAAAGTTAAAACATGATCCTTATTTTCTGGTTAGCATTTTCTGCCTGTTGCCTAGGGGGCGCCATACTGTTCAAGATCGTTCCGAGTCCATTTTTACCCCTTTATAAACCACAGTGTTGGATGCTGCAGCTGCTTTCACTGTCTTGTTACCGTTTTGTACATCTTGTACATGGTGTTAGATTTGGGGCTGAAGAGCTTATCAGAGCTGGAGGAGAACTGCTTGGAGGTGTAGGTGAGTAGGAGGAAGTCGTTGAAGAGGAAGGCCCACAGCTCCTTGCTGCTCTTGGTCTTCCACACTCGGCCACTGTGCAGTAGCTTGCGAGGGCCCAGGCAGTTGGTTAAAGAGTTAAAGACCAGGTGCTGGACAGGCAGGAGTGAATCTGTTTAGTCTTGATTATGGTGAATTATTGCAAATAGATAATGAAAACATGACCATTTGTATCACAAAAGGTGTATCCAAACTTTTGACAGACAATGTATATTATATGCTATGTATTGTTTGGAATTATGTTAAATGACTCCTAAAATTATGATAATACTGACACATAAAGACACTTTACTTGAACTCTGCTACATAACATTGCCATAACAATGTCATGGAAGATGTCATATGATTTTGTTTAGTAATATAACAGTGTCATTTTACCATAACCAATAAATATAATGACCGCTCAGCAAAAATGAGCATGTGACAAAAGCTGTCATGACATCAAACATTACAGCATCTGCTATGACAACTACCGGTAATGGTAACATGACGCCATACACCAATCAGGCATAACATTATGACCACCTCCTTGTTTCTACGCTCATTGTCCATTTTATCAGCTCCACTTACTATATAGGTGACCTTTGTAGTTCTACAGTTACAGACTGTAGTCCATCTGTTTCTCTGTATACTTTGTTAGTTCCCTTTTACCCTGTTCTTCAGTGGTCAGAACCCCCATGGACCCTCACAGAGCAGGTACTATTTGGGTGGTGGATCATTCTCAGCACTGCAGTAACACTGACGTGGTGGTGGTGTGTTAGTGTGTGTTGCGCTGGTACGAATGGATCAGACACAGCAGTGCTGCTGGAGTTTTTAAACACTGTGTCCACTCACTGTCCACTCTATTAGACACTCCTACCTTGTCGGTCCACCTTGTAGATGTAATGTCAGAGACGATAGCTCATCTGCTGCTGCACAGTTTGTGTTGGTCATCCTCTAGTCCTTCATCAGTGGTCACAGGACGCTGCCCACAGGACGCTGTTGGCTGGATATTTTTGGTTGGTGGACTATTCTCAGTCCAGCAGTGACACTGAGGTGTTTGAAAACTCCAGCAGCACTGCTGTGTCTGATCCACTCAGACAAGCACAGCACACACTCACACACCACCACCACATCAGTGTTACTGCAGTGCTGGGTCCTGTGGGGGTCCTGACCACTGAAGAACAGGGTAAAAGGGGGCTAACAAAGTATGCAGAGAAACTGGATGGACTACAGTCTGTAACTGTAGAACTACAAAGTGCACCTATATAGTAAGTGGAGCTGATAAAATGGACAATGAGTGTAGAAACAAGTAGGTGGTCATAATGTTAGGCCTGATCGGTGTATATTACCAAACAAAATCTGTTATGACAACTGATGACAGCATATGAGCATATCGTCCATGTCATGTTTATGGTTATGTCAGTCTTATGTAGTGGGGTTCAAATGAAATGTTACCAGACAGTCTCATATAAGACACACTGTCATCTTCATAGAATATGATGTGTATTACTGGGTGATTATACCAGTTTTAATTGTTCATAATGGCCCACAAGCCTCACCTCGATGACCCCTTCACACTGCACATGGTTCTGGATCCACTCCAGCCTGTCTGAGTTCTCTTTCTCCCTCACGCCCTCATTCACCTGAGAGCACAGCTCCTCCGCTCTCTCCAGCGCCTCCCGCAGGTTAGCCTGGTCTACATGCCCTGCTGGTGTATTCTCCAGAATCTACAGCCACACAGACAGAGAAAAAAAAATATATATATAAAGGAATTTTGCAAAAAATGCACATAATTTTCCATCTTATACCAAATGTAGTCAATCAGCCAAGACATGTTTTGTGTCTTAAGTTTCTTTAGTTTTGTGCTGGAGCTATGAGGCTAATGTAGCTAACACGTAATGAAAGCTTGCCTCACACTTGCCTGTACTTGTTAAGTAATCTCAAATAGACTTGATTCTGTAGTTTGTGATGCTGTATGATATACTGTCATCTATAAACATGGACAAAAGTACAAAATTCAGACAATAATATGTTAAGCTAGCACTGTTTTCAGCTGCTTAACATACTTTTTTACGTCCCACTCAATGCGGAGAAGGAAAAAAATGCTCAATTTTCTGAATAAATGTATGTTTGCAGTCACAAACTAGACATATATGAAGTAAAAGGCAGGAAAGAATTCTGAACTTTACTTAATAACCTGGTTTTGTTTAACAGGCCAACAGGCGAATCCAGTAATATTCAGAGTGAGGCTTTAAGATGGACATTTATGTATTCAACATGCGAAGGAAAAAAAATGTTTTACGTTTGTGTGTAATAGAGAACCCAGCATAAAAAAACACAGTTAGCTTCTGGCTAACACATAATAGAAAATCTCATTTATGTGCTAGCAGAAATTAGCATTCTCGATATAGGCCTTTTTGTATTAACAAAGGCTACTGATGAAGAACTGCTACATAATGATATGTGACACAGCACAGTTTCATGGTGGTACATTACAGTAGTATGTTCTGTGCTTTGTTTTATGTTAGAGCAGCTTCACAGCTCTTGATGAAGGTCTCAGTGCTCTACAGCAGGGTTCTCAAGTGTTGCCTGCAAACTGTCAAATATGATAATGATACAATGATGCATTGTAAGTGTACCTATGTGCTCATTTCTCTTTATTAGTGTAATAATTGGTCTCTGGTTTTAAAAGTGCGGAGCTCTCACGTTTCTGATGAGCAGAGGATAGCGCGTGATCCTCTGCATGGGCTTCAGCAGGAAACTGGACAGTGGCATTCCTTTACAGCGGTAATTAGTGGCAATTTTCTAGTGGAGAACAGAGATACGGTGATCAACATCACTACTGATTTATACATGGAGGCAAATACACCTGTAGTTCTCTCTAGTGGCTATAGTTGAAATGTCATTAAACATGCAACTTAAGACTGGTCAAGCATGCTGGTCTTCCAGTGACCGGTTCCCATTCTAACCTGATTTTGATTTATCCACTGAAATCTAGTCTGGAATCAATGGTTCAGTGTAACATGATGATAGTGCTCTACAACTGAATAGGTTTCAAAAAGGAAAATAAATCTGTAACCTGTAGATGATTTTACACAAGTAGTTGCAAGCATGTTGCTAGTTGGCTTCTGTGGTATTCTGGGTGGTTACTATGGTTGCTAGGCAGCTGCTACAGTATTTAAGGTGTTACAGTGCAGTTGCTATAGTATTCCAGCAAGCTGCTAGAGAATTGCTAGGTGGTTGCTATGGCATTCCAGCCGGTTGCTAGGGCATTGCTAGGCAGTTGTTAGACGGTATTGTATTTGGTATGGTATGGTATTTAGGTGGTTGTTAAGGTGCTGCTAAGCAATTACTGAGGTATCCAAGATGATTGCTAGGGTGTTAATAGGTGATTGCTGTTGTGTTTCATGTGGTTGCTATAGGTGTTGTTAGGTGTTTACTGTGTTGTCCAAATTGGTTGCTGACGTGTTGCTAGGCAGTATCTAAGGTAGTTGCTAGGGTATTGCTAGGGTGGTTGCTATGGCATTCCAGCTGGTTGCTAGGGAATTGGTAGGCAGTTGTTAGACGGTATGGTATTTGGTATAGTATGATATTTTAGGTGGTTGTTAATGTGTTGCTAAGTAATTGTTAAGGTATCCAAGGTGATTGCCAGGGTGTTAATAGATGACTGCTGTAGTGTTTCAGGTGGTTACTATAGGTGTTGTTAGGTGTTCACTGTGTTGTCCAAAGTGGTTGCTAAGGCGTTGCTAGGCAGCATCTTAAGTAGTTGCAAGGATATTGCTAGGTGGTTGTTATGGTATTGCAGGTAGATGCTACTGTGTTGCTGTGCTGTTGCTACGGTATTCTAGCTGGTTGCTAGGGCACCTCTATTCTTAGTGCTGGAGGGAATCAGGCATGTTGAGATGTGAGTTCAGTAACAGTAGTATTGTAACCTTTAAGAAGAGCTTGAAGTCGGGCGATGCGTCAGTTTTCTGCTGCAGCAGGGCAGCAGCGTTGAGCTGGCAGCTGCAGAAGCGGATGTAGGCTTGCATGTGCGCAAGCTCAGAGGAGAGGATATCACCAATCACCTGCACCGGCATCCTCTCACCTGCTGTCTTCTTACGCACACGCAAAGCTCTGAAACACACACACACATGCAAACACACACAAACACACACACACACACACACACACATGTATGGCTTGAAAAAACTTCTGGTTCCATTGACTTACATTAAAAGTAAAGTAGGTTTTTTCCTTCTCCTGTAAAGTCACCATTTTGGAGATATAAGGTTTTGTAATATATATATATATATATATATATATATATATATATATATATATATATATATATATATATATATATATAAATAAATCATCCAATGCCAATTGACTAGTTTATCCAGTCAATCCTTCATTACATATATGTATATATATATATTGTTGTTGTTGCTGAGCTGTGACCCACTTGAGCAGCTTGGTGTTGCACATGATCAGTTCCCTCCAGTTGACAAAAATCACCGCCATGTCAGCCTCAGTCAGCCGGCCTGACTCAGCCATCGGCTTATAGAACACCTGCATATGCAATTACACAACGAGGTCAGTTCCACAAAGCAGGATTTCATGGTTAACCTCATAACAAAGTCAAATGCCCAAGCAGTCCAACAGGAGAAGGTCTGCGATCATTAATCACAGGAGAGCTAGTGGAGAAATCAGGAAATCAACCTCAGGCTGAATGTTAGTTCCCACTGACAACTACACTGTAGCAACGGTCTGCTACTGATCTGCTTAAACACCTGCATGGTAAACTGTGTGAGTTCAATGACTCAGAGAGTGGAGTCCTTTGAAAGGTTTACAGAGATTATACATACATAATACATAAATACATTTAGGCAGTAAAAATGCATTTAAAGTTATATAAAAATATTCCATAGAGAGTGTGCTCATTTTTGGCCAAAATAAAATTCTAGCCATGCTGTTTTTGTTGACTATATTCGAATATTGTGGTGCCGTCATTACTAGTAACAGTTAACAAGTAGCAATAAAATAATAAATAGTATATATATTATCCATAAATCTGAATCGTAGGTAAATAATCAAAACAAATTTGAACTGTGGAGAGATTTCATGATATTTATGCATGATTATCAGAATGCATGCTTGGTTGCCAGTGTGAGTGTATGTGCAGTAACTTCAATCAGTGTTCACCTTCAATCAGTTTACATGTTTTACTGACTTTCTAAGTGAAAATAGTTAACAGATCCTCTACAGGGAATATGGCATTTTTCACCAAATATAGTGGACAATGTCTATTTCTTTGCTGAGTTTAACACACTGGACAAAAAGAAAACATAAAATATAATGTGCTATAACTTTTGCACAGGCAACATTTATGTTTTTTTTCCCAATATGTTAAATTCAGCAAATAAACAGTAATTGTGTATTAAAGGCTATGTAAGCCTTATTGCTGAAATCAGATTTTTTGCTCAGATCCGATCTCGTTCACACTCATTTAGGTAAGTGATTCAAATCTGTCATTAATGTGACGAACCGGCGTCCTGAAATGACCCTCATGAGCTCATCCTACTCAGTAACGTCAGGTGAATGAATCACGTTCATCATCAGCACAAACTAACGAGCAGAACGAGCTTCGCTGAGAAGATCATTAACTCTGATCAGCTCTCAGCTTCATTATTAGAGCGAGACGAAGGAGAAAAAGGTGAGATGAGCTACTTTTCCACCGTTTACAGGCTTTAGCTTCTGTTCGGCGCTGCTGCCATGGCAACGCTGAATGATGGTCACGCGCAGTGGAGAAAAGGCACATGAATTCCACTCTGAGCGTCACATTAAGGTCGCACGGCCACGAATCGGATACGTATCCGATCTAGGACCACATATGAAGGTGGCTCAGGTCGGATTTGAAAAGATCAGATTTGCGTCCACACAGCTCAGAAAACATCAGATCTGAGTCGCATTAGGGCAAAAAACTGGATTTGTGCCACTTCAGCCTGGTAAAGTGAACAGAGCCAAAGTGTGCAGACGTGTGTTCTCTGTAGAGGATGTGTTCATTTACATTCACTTAGAAAATCAACAAAACATGTAATCTGACTGGGGTGTACAGACTTTTGCATACGGCTGTATGTATGTTCTGAGTGCGGGCTGGTTTACCTCCAGCACCAGCTCCAGGTCCTGTAGGTAGGTCTGCTCTGTGTGAATGAGTTCGTGGATGTAGCCCTGCCGCTTCCTCTCCTCTGAGCTCATGGAGTCCAAGCTAAGCAGGTCCGCACACCCTACACACACACACACACACACCCCCCAACAAACACATACAGGCACACACACTTCAAGCTGAGTACATACAGTGTTGTGCAAAAGTCAGAGATCACCCTTTATGTATTTAATTTCCAGTCAAAACAGCCATTAAGTACAAGTTATTCATTTCAAAGGAGGTATTTCTGAGGAGATTAGATATCAGATAAAACAGGAGTTCAAAAAACTAATTTAAAGCTCTAGAGAAAGAGGCTCCTAACAACCACCTGGAAGACCTGACAGACACCAAAACTGCCCCCCATCAGACAAACAGCACTTAAAGCTTTCATCTCTGAGAGAGAGGAGAAAATCAAGCTGCTTCAGATCTGAAAACATCCACAGGTGTTTCTGTCCATCCTTCCACTGTGAGAAGACGACTCAGCGCTGTGGGTCTGAAAGGATGTGTAGCTGTTCAAGAAGAACCTCACTGAGAAAAGGAGACGGACACCAATGGACTGACCACCCCAGAGTCCAGACCTCAACACCACTGAATGTGTTTGATTACTTCAGAAAATGATCAACCAGCTTCTAAGACTGAACTTTGGAGGTGTGTCTGCAGATTCTTTGAGGAACTGAAAGTGAGTCTCCTGAAAAGAATGGAAGCTGCAATAAAGGTAAAGAGTGAAACACTAAATACTGAAAACGTTGATATTATATTTAGTTTATGAGGTTTCTGTGTAATTTTCAGTTAAATATGTTTTTGCCGATGCTGTGAATAAAACTTGTACTTAACGGCCTTTTTGTTTGGACTAGAAACTGTCTTTGTATCTATTTTAGCACTTTAGCACTGATACTCCAGAGCACAACACGTCGAACCCACAGAGCACTCAGAGCACTGCAGAATCTCACAGTCAAAAACTTTATTTCTTAATTCCTCTTCAAGCACTTGATGTGCGGAGCAAAATATCCATATAAAAACACTGCAAAGCTGGAGTGTAACGTCTGTTAGGACACATGGAAAGCCTGGCGTGGCCGTTAGCTGGTTGCATAGCGACTGCTCAAGTGCTTCAGGTGCGTGTCTGCTACATTTCAACAGGAAGAAGCCGACAAACTCATCATCTACACAGGCTGAGTGAGGACGCAGTGTATGCTGGTGTAGTATATAGACACATACACACACACACACACACACACACACACACACACACACACACAAACCTGCAGGCACATACACACTTTTAGGGAATGATTCAGAGGAAAAATCTAATTTACACAGTTATTCACTTACCTCAAATTTAGTCAATCAGCATGTTTGGTGTCCAATTTTGCTTCTTTAGTAGTTATTAAAATAGTGCTAAGAGGCTAATGTAGCTAACAAACACCAGAAGTCAATAGTCACCCAAATCTTTTATGTAAATACATCCCCAAAACTTAACTCACACCACATCCAGGTCTTTGAAGGGGAATTCCACCGATTTTTCATCATTCCAAATTTCTGCATAATTCAGTTGTGGCAGTTACAGTATGTGAAAGTAAAGATGTTGCAGTTCTGATGTGAAACTTTACTGTAGAGAAATTTACCCACTCTGATTTCTTTGGTCCAAAAGCAGCCAGAAACAAACTGTCTAATCTAACACTTAAACTTAACAATTTCTCAGTTGCATCAAGCTCATATGTAAAAAACCTTGGTGTCATTATAGACCCTGATCTGTCCTTCGACACACATATAACTAATATTACTAGAACAGCCTTCCTGCATCTTCGCAATATTGCTAAATTGAGAAATGCATTATCTCTACAGGATGCAGAAAAGTTAGTTCATGCATTTATTACTTCAAGGCTAGATTACTGTAATGCCCTGCTGGCTGGATGTCCCAGCAAAAGCATTAACAAGCTTCAGTTGGTCCAGAACGCTGCAGCCAGAGTTCTTACTAGAACCAGAAAGTTTGACCATATCAGCCCAGTTTTATCAGCCTTACACTGGTTGCCAGTAAAATTTCGGATTGATTATAAAATTCTCTTGCTGACTTATAAAGCACTAAACGGACTCGCCCCGCTGTACCTGAGTGAACTTCTCTCTCACTATGAACCATCCCGCCTACTTAGATCACAAGGTGCTGGCTTACTATTAGTACCCAGAATTAATAAAGTTACGTCAGGGGGGAGAGCTTTCTCATACAAAGCCCCCCAGCTTTGGAATAGTCTTCCTGTTAATGTTCGGGACTCAGACACAGCCTCAGTCTTTAAGTCTAGGCTAAAAACCTACTTGTATATTCAAGCCTTTGGTAATTAGTTTTCCCTGTTAGTTCTATACCTGCCAGAGTCTCTGCTAACACTGTAATTTGTGATCGGTCACCCATTACAGAACTAACTCTGTGTGTTTTCCTCTCTGTGTGTTTTCCTTTCTTTTCTTCGCCGAGTTGAACAGCTGCCCGTCCTGTGCGTTCTGATGCTGCTGCCTTTTCTGCCTCGATCGGGTGCCACTGCTCGCCAGCCCTCTGGACCGGGTTACCAACATTGAGCCTCCTGCTGTTCAACGCCGTGCAAACCTCACCCTCACAACCTGACCCCACTGATACTACTGCTGTTGCTGCATGAACTATTCAAAATTATTCACTTGAACCAATCAATCATTCAAACTAATTCAAATTAATCAATCACCCATTGACTGTGTTTTTCCTCTCTTTCTTTTGCCGAGTTGAACAGCTGCCCATCCTGCTGCTGATGCTGCTGCCTCTGCTGCCTTGATCGGGTGCCACTGCTCACCGTGCAAACCTCACCCTCACAACCTGACCCCACTGATGCTGCTGCTTCTGCTGCATGAACTGAACTATTCAAATTAATTGTTTCCTTCACGTTTTACCCTGTTTTTTGTACTATAATACTTTATACTAACAATGTTTACTATCCGGTGTCGACCAGAGGAGGATGGGTTCCCCTTCTGAGTCCTGGTTCCTCTCAAGGTTTCTTCCTGTTTCTCTTAGGGAGTTTTTCCTTGCCACTGTCGCCACTGGCTTGCTCATGGGGGCTCGGACCCGGACTTCTTTTTGTAATGCTCATTTCCTTGTAAAGCTGCTTTGTGACAACACCTGTTGTAAAAAGCGCTATATAAATAAACTTTACTTACTTACTTACTTACTTACAGAGGTGGCAATAGGAACCAGGAGTCAAGAGAATCTGTGTCTTCTGAGTTTTTATATGTGAAAATAGCACTAAAAGTGCACTAAAAAAAGGGGGCCTTTCAATGCTCTGGAATGACCTATGTGCTGTAAACGGTGAACGTTTTAGGTAAAAACCTCCTCAAAACTATCATTTAATATCTCAGACAACAGGCAGCATATTCAGAAGCATTTCATGGAATGACCTTGTGTGTGGGAGCTTTAAGACTGATTAAACTCTTCAGACGTCTGGTTCCTATCACCACCACTGTGAACAATTCTGACTGGGTAAGTTTCTCTAGAACAGAGCTTTTCACAACAAACTACTCTGAATGACGTTGTTTATATCAGAACAACAGAATTGGGTAGAAATGTCGAAAATTTGCAGAATTCCCCTTTAACGTCATGCAGACTTGATGTGGTTTAGGAGACAGTACGACTTACTGTGAACTATAAAATGAACAAAACTTAGCCGTGTAGCATTTTAGACAAGTGGTGAAATGAATTCTGACTCCCTTACAGAATCGGGATATGGATGCTAGACTTTATTCACAATTTCTGTTGTTTTTATTTAAGATATATATTCTTCAGCTTTAAGATTAACACTTATTTATAAATATAACTAAAGAATAACAGTAATCTGGAACACCCATATGCCTAAACCACATCAACAAGTCTGCTCGACCCCTATGAAGACAGTTTGAGAGATGTTTTGGGGATGTATTCATGGAAAAAAATTTGGGTGACTATTGAATTCTAGTGTTTGCTAGCTATGCTGGCCTTATAGCTCCAGTGCTAAAGTAAAGAAGCAGCTTTCGGACACCAAACATGCCTAGGCTCAGGCATGAACACAGACAGACCCCAAGGTGGGCTTGAGATCCTGCCCCTTTGCCCTCAGACCATACTAGTGCACGCTTGGTTGGTGTGTATAATAACTGTATTTTATTTTGCCTTCTCCATTCTACAGATGGGGCTCAGTCTTGCTCCAGAAATACAGCTCATGGGACTTGGGTTCTATGAGATCCATAGCTCTTGGGCGCCCTCTAGTGCAGTACCAGCCAATTGTGGAGATTCCTCCAGTAACTCTGACCTGTCACGCATCACCAAAGCACTCATAATGTCTTTAAGAAAGCCTCACATTCCATAATGTGGCTATTTTGAACTAGAACCAAACATAATGTCAGCAATATGGTGTTTTAATAATTTACCACAACAGGTCTTCATTTTGAGACTATGTGGAGATTTTAATGGGAAAAAATCCGCATAATAAAATCATTATGATGTAAAAAAAGTTATGTAGAGATAAGAAATACTCTGTTCTAGAGAAAACTTACCAAGCCAGATTTGTTCACAGTGGTGGTGATAGGAACCAGACGTCTGAATCATTTAGTGCCTCTAAAAGCTTTACATTAAGTTACTTCAGGAGATGGTTATGAATATGCTACCTGATAACTAAAGCTTCGTTTCAGAATAGTTTTGAGACAAGATTGGGTCTAAAATATTCTTTCTTAAAGGCAATTCATGGTGGAGAGGGACATGCAGGGTGCACTGGTGGTCTTGGATAGTAAATAAAATGGCTATATTTGTGTTGCAGACACCACAACCCTTGGTTCCTATCACCACCACTGCAAAGAAATCCGAGTCGGTATGTTTCTCTACAATGACTCATTTTGTATTAAACCACTCTGAATGACTTTGTTATCTCAACGACTGAATTATGTAGAAACTTTAAAAAGCTGGTGGAGTTCCCCTTTACATAGGATTATAACTAAATTTTACATGGTGGTTAAATAGTGCAGTAAATTACGCAACCGTATTGTTAAAACTCACATTTGGTTTAATCTAAAACATAATTAGACTGTCTTTCTTGATACGAAAGGTGATTATGTTGCTCCTATTTCACCTTGAGCCCCCCCAAAAATGCCCATGCATGACCCTGCCTTGGCTGACCTGAGGTAAATGGATAACTGTGTACATTTTGTTGCCTAACCATTCCTTTAATGCTCGCACAAACACGCACATACATGAAAACAGTGCCTCTCCTTCCTCGCTACACACTGAACAGTACTACTGCAAGACTGTTAAGGGCATTAAAGGGCCTTCCATTCCTATAAAACCTCATTTTCATTACTGAAGAATTAGCCTGCGTTACAGTAAATAACCCTGTTTCTACCAGTCACTACCTTTATTTGTTTCCCTGTTAATTCCAGTAAGGTATAACAAGCAAAGGGGGAAAAACAAGAGAAAAAGAAACATCCGAATGGAAATAGCAAAAAAGGGGGAGGGGCCAGATCCAGAAAGAGTTAGTGAGGGGGCGGAGTCTCATCTGCTGCTTCCTGGAGCTGAGGTGCTCTGAGCGGAGGTGGAGGAGGGAGAAAGAAGAAGAAGAAGGGCCAAGGCTACAGTTCCTGAAATAAAGCACAGATGAGGCGAACAACAGGAAAGGGAAAGGTGAGGGGAGTGGATGAGTGCAGCCATGAGAGACAGTGAAGAGAGGGATGGACAACATAAGTCAGTATTGAGGGAAAGGGAGAAGTACAGCTCAGTGTTTAAAAGAGAGGAATCATTTGCAAGTCTAAAGCTGAAAAACAAAGGGTCAAGTTAAAGTCAGCCTGAAATCATTCATTTACAGGGCTGGACATCAGGCATATATATAAATATATATTCAAATATACACAGATCAGGCATATCATTATGACCACCTCCTTGTTTCTCTGCTCATTGTCCATTTTATCAGCTCCACTTACTATATAGGTGCACTTTGTAGTTCTACAGTTACAGACTGTAGTCCATCTGTTTCTCTGCATACTTTGTTAGCCCCCTTTTACCCTCAGGACCCCCATGGACCCTCACAGAGCAGGTACTATTTGGGTGGTGGATCATTCTCAGCACTGCAGTAACGCTGACATAGTGGTGGTGTGTGAGTGTGTGCTGTGCTGGTCTGAGTGGATCAGACACAGCAGTGCTGCTGGAGTTTTTAAACACCTCAGTGTCGCTGCTGGACTGAGAATAGTCCACCAACCAAAAATATCCAGCCAACAGTGTCCTGTGGGCAGCGTCCTGTGACCACTGATGAAGGACTAGAGGATGACCAACACAAACTGTGCAGCAGCAGATGAGCTGTCGTCTCTGACTTTACATCTACAAGGTGGACCGACAAGGTAAGAGTGTCTAATAGAGTGGACAGTGAGTGGACACAGTGTTTAAAAACTCCAGCAGCACTGCTGTGTCTGATCCACTCGTACCAGCGCAACACACACTAACACACCACCACCACGTCAGTGTTACTGCAGTGCTGAGAATGATCCACCACCCAAATAGTACCTGCTCTGTGAGGGTCCATGGGGGTCCTGAGGGTAAAAGGGGGCTAACAAAGTATGCAGAGAAACAGATGGACTACAGTCTGTAACTGTAGAACTACAAAGTGCACCTATATAGTAAGTGGAGCTGATAAAATGGACAATGAGCGTAGAAACAAGGAGGTGGTCGTAATGTTATGCCTGACCGGTATATTTACATATATATTTGGAAACGAAAACTGTCGAATCATTATTTAGGCAAAAAACCTCCGTTTTGATAGTGTTATAAAATCTACCAGAATAAGTTAACACATCCTCTACAGAGAGCACTTTCAAATATGGTGTTTTAGTGCACAATTTCTAGTTATTTGCTGAGTTTAACACTGGACATCACTTTTGCACAAGCCACATTTTCTGTTTTTTTTGTTTTCGATATGTTAAATGCAGCCCAAAAAACTAGTAAAAGTGAAGTGTGTTCCCTGTAGAGGAGGTGTTCACTTATTTTCACTTGAAAAATCATCAAAACATTATTTGATCAGGGGTGCACAAACTTTTGTATACAACTGTATGTACCCGTACAAACACCTGAAGTTACACTAAGATGGAACACGCTTTCAAAGTAAGTTAGAACTCACATTGCTGACTGGGATCGGACTCTGTGGTCATTTTCACGTAGTTGGTTGGAAAAAGCCCCGTGACCCCGTTGAGCTCTCCTTTCCACCAATCAGAGTCGTCCTTGTTGAGGACATTAATCAGCTGACCCTTCAAAAAGCTCATCTCGTCCTCGCTGGCTGCTTTGTAGTCATACATGGCGATGACCTGACACACTAAGGAGAAAGAGAGAACCAAAAAATGGAGAAATAAAGTAGTGAGAGAGATACACGCCGGGACTCGACCTAAACCAGAGCACAACAGCGTGTTAATAGAGAAGGCAGGTAACAAGGTGTGTGTTAGTGCCTGAAATATCCGACTTGGGTCAGTATTTGGGCCGGTAAGCTATTTGGGCCAGTAAGTGTTGATCTTCGGGAGCCCAGCGAGCTCGATCCCCAGCAATGCCACGGCCTTCCATGTTCAGGAGGCCAATAGAGTCCAATAGATTTCTAATGCATGTGTTAGGTTTCACCCTCCTAGCTTGGCAGCACTTCATGATAGAGGAACCTAGCTAATGAGCGGCAACTGGACACATTTTGAGTCAAAACCAGACCCGAGCCGGACAAATTCTGTTTGAACCCAACCTGATCTGAAACTGACCCTGAGCCCAATAAAATTCTGTCGGGGCGAAAACCACTGTAAACCGTAATGTTTGGAGTCTAAACCCAACTTGGAAAAATTCAGTCTGAACCTGATCTGATCCGAACCACCAAGTTTGAATCTGAAACTGATCTGAGCCTCACTAAAGTCTGCCTGAAACCAGCCTCACTCCGAATTGTCAACTTCTGAGTCCGAACGAGACCCAATCCAAAACATTCTTTGTCAACCTGACCTGATCTGAACCATCAAGGTTTAAGTCCAAACCCAATCCCGGCCAGACAAAATTCTGTCTGAGCCTGGCCCAAATCAAGTTTTGAAACCGAACCTGACCCAAGCCCAACAAAATTCTGTCTGAACCCGACCTAAACTGAATCTTCAGGTTTTGACTCTGAATCCGACTCGAGCCAGACAAAATTTTGTCTGAACCTGAGCGAAACCAGGTCAAGTTTTGAGTCCAAACCTGACCAAAGCCAGACAAGATTCTGTCTGAACTCGACCTAATTCAAGTCGTCAAGCTTGAGCCAGACAAAATTGTGTCTGAACTTGACCCATTATCACTCAACCTCCCTAAAAGAACCTGTTGTTTCAGGCAAATATCTCAAGCTCTGGTGTGTGTGCATGCGTAACATACGTGGCGGAGGTGCAGGAGTGGTTTTGCCACTGCTGGGCTCCAGCAGTTTGATGTTTGAGGAGTGGAACCATCCCTTTTGACGCTTCTTTCCACGAGCCTACAGCACATGCGCACAAAAAGCACTCTTAGTTAGCACCATGCTAATTGGTGTAATTGGTATAAGCTTGCATTATTTCTTGGCTTCAATGGCCTCAGAGATCCAGTGTAAATCTAAAGAATCATGCCTTGGCAGGTCGACTACATTTGGTGATGTATCCTTGACACTGACCTGAAGTTCTCCTAGCCACCAGCCACAGGAGTTTTTATGAAGAACCAGGATCAGCTGACCAGGGGTCAGACTCAGCTGCTCCGCTGTTGTTGCGATGCAAGCTGCTGTTACCTGGGCGATCTCTGAAAGGAAGGAGGGAAAAGTAACAGATCACAATGCTTGCTTCCTTCAGTCTGTCGGGACTGGTCTGGACAACCTTAATCAGCTCACCTGGCTTTTTACTGGACGCACCAGATTTGGCAGTCTAAAAGAACAACACAACAGTAGTCAGAGTAGTTACTCAATAATTCAAACAAGTTACTAATATATATTAGTTACTAAATAATTTAGGTAGTTACTGAATTATTTATAGGAGTTACTGAATGTTATCACAGTCACTGACTGATTCATAGTAGTTACTCACTATTTTAGAAGCAGTTACTACATAATACGTCCTAAAATTAATAACTGAACATGCAGTTTAAGGGTCATTAAGCATTTCATAGCAAATATAATCACACTAAACATAAGTGTCACATACGTCTGAGTCTTTGGGTTTAACGTAGTTGGAAGGAAAGAGTCCCGATTGGTCGCCGATGCAGCCTTTCCACCACTCCCCCTCTCTCTCCGTTACCAAGATAACGTCCTCGGCCCGGAATGTCAGGTCACCTGACTCTGGACTCTCGTACGTGTACAAGGCCACATATTCTGATTGGATAAAGGTATAAACCACAGATCACAAAATCTCACTGACTGATCACATATTGGTTGATATGAATAAGTGTCATGTCATTTATATCCAATTACCATTTACCGTTATATATCACATTGCTTCAAATTATTCTTTCATTTATGTATTTTTTCCTTTCAGATATATTTAGATAAAATTCAATACTTTTTTTTGTTTGTGACTCTGGAATGAATGGATCCTTACCTTCAAGTAGACCAGAGTCAGGAAGGTCCAGTTCATCAACAGTGGAATACAATGGTCTGTAGAAGACACAAAGGAAAACTGCAGCATTAACCCCTTAAAAGGCCAGGGCCTGCCGGTGGTCCCAAAGTTTTATTACGCACTTCTATAACCTAAGAATAGTCTCCAGTTTGCACTGAAGTTCCTGTAGTTACTGAATAATAATCTTTAGTATGTAATAAGGGATTTTAGGGGGTTAACTCAGGAGTATCCAAGTCTGAATCTAGGCAATCATACAATCATACATATATATATATATAGGTTTTGGCAACATATGCTGCCATCCGGGTGACGTCTTTTTCGGGGAAGGCTTATTTCAGCAAGATAATGACAAACCACATTCTGCAGAGCTCTACAAGAGCATGGCTCCTAAACTGCCAGCCGTCTAGACCTGTCACCCAAACCTTTAGCGCATTATGAAACAAAAATTATATTAAAGTATACACATACTTCATATATATATACAAAGTATATATATATATATATATATATATATATATATATATATACACACTTCAGTATTAATATAAAGTTATATATTAATATTAAAGTCCTATAATAAGCAAGAATGGGACTACATCACTTGGTCTCCTCAGCTCCAAAACACTTACAGAGTATTGCTAAAAGAAGAGGGAACATGTTGCTGGCATTAAATTCAAAATGGGCATATCATTTTTGAAAAACACTATTTTATATATTTGTACTATTTTTAATTAAATATAGAGTTTAAATGATTTGCACATCAATGCATTCTCCAGCTTATTTGGAAAAAGGTTATATAAGACACGATTTTAACCTACACCCACTAATATGGCAATTAAAACAATAATGTATGTTCTAAAGTATCTAGAGAGCTCTTATATTGTTTTCAGCTATTTTAGGGTGCACCCATTACTGACACAGGAATTGCTGACACACCGCTAGTATAACCTCCATAGAAAAGAATGCTATGCCCATAGCATTGGGCTGTGGAGCAGTGGAGCTGTGTTCTCTGGAGTGATGGAGCTTCATTCAATACCTGACCTCACTATTGCTCTTGTGGCTGAATGCAATCAAATCCTCACCGCAGCAAAGGGGGACAAACACTATTAATACTGAAGAAACGCTGGATGAGAAGGTGTCTGCAAACTTTTGGACACACTGTTTATCTAACCACAGTATATAATATGGAAGGCTGACAGGTGAGAGAGAGAGAAAGAGAGAAATTTCTTTACTCAGTATGGGAGTTGTTGGTGGTCACCATGGAGACGTGGGTTTTGGGGAACCAGCCTCTGTTTTCCCCAAGTTCTCCATACCACCAGTTCTCCTGCTGCTCCAGAACCCTGATGACATCATCCTTAGAGAACCCCAGGTGACTCTCAGTGTTCGCTGTCCATGCACAGAGAGCTATGGCCTGCGCGCAAACACACACACACACACACACACACACACACACACACACACAGAGTTTCACTTCACTGCCAAAATGCAACCAGGAAAAGCTGGCATGACTGGTTGAATGAATGAATGGATGAATGGACAGATGGACGAACAGATGACAAACAAGACAGATAAGCTAGCTTGATAGTTCAGCTGGGCTTGCTTTGTTAGCTTTCGCTTGGTTGTTAGCTTTCTCTGTGTGAGTTGCTCTCAAACACAGAGAGACAGTGGACGAATACAGTTTTGTTAAAGCTGTGTTGGTGGGACAAACCACATCAGCCTTATGGTTAGTGAGGGTACTGCTTACATACGCATGACCTAAAATTAGGACCGCTTAGTTTATAAGGAAAAAGGAGAAATTAGCCGAATAACACTGGCCATTTAGTGGCATAGGAAAGTTGTTCACAGGACATACTATGTCCATTTCGTCATTGCCACACAAAAACATCTCCATTTTTCTCATTTTTTACTTTTTTACATTTGAAAATTCAAGTTACCTTTTCCATAATATCAAAATTTCATTATTAATGGGCCAATAGAAATTCCTAGGACTACTTTGAAAAAACTGTTACATTGACTTTCATTACGAGTTATGTTAAGTTTCTGTAAAGTTACAATTTACAAGCTTACAATTACGAGAGACGGTTTGCTCTGATGGTGATGATATACAGTGCTGTGATAAAGTATTTGCCCCTTCCCAATTTATTCTATTCAGGTGTATCTGTCACACTAGAATGTTCAGATCATCAAACTACTTTTAATATTAGACAAAGATACCCAAGTAAACACAAAATTCTGTTTTTAAATGTTGATTTCAATTATTGAAGGAGAAATGCTGTTCAGCCCTACCTGGCCCTATGTGAAAAAGTAATTGCTAGTAGCTAGTAAATCAACTAGTTAACCAAATTCAACTGACTGTTGGGTTCAATTGCATTATCCACACCCAGACATGATTACTGTCAGACCTACTGAATCTAAACATCACTTAAACAGAACCTGTCTGGTAACATGAAGCAGGTTAGAAGGTCTCAAAAAGCAGCACAAGATGCCACGTTCTAAAGAGATTCAAATACAGATGTGAAACAAAGGTCATTGAAATCCACTAGTCTGGAAAGGGTTATAAAGCCATGGCTAAGGCTCTGGGACTCCAGAGAACCATAGTGAAAGCCATTATTCACAAATGGAGAAAACTCTACCAAAATTTCACCAAGAGCACATCGACAACTCATCCAGGAGGTCACAAAAGAACCCAGACGGACATCTAGAGAACTGCAGGCCACACTTGCTGCAGTTAAGGTCAATGTACATGATTACACAGTAAGAAAGACACTGGGCAAAAATGGTATCTGTGGGGAAGCTGCAGTGGAATAATGGAATGATCCTTTAAAAGCTACATTTTGTGTTTACTCATGTTGTCTTTATCTAATATTAAAATTAGTTGGATGATCTGAAACATTTAAACTTTGACAAATTAGCAAAAATAGAAGAACTTGGGTGAGGGGCACATACTTTTTCACAGCACTGTACATATACATTGAGTGCCTACAAGAGCAAGTTTATCCTACTTAGAAAGAAAACATGGATATAGGTTCCGGGGCTTTAAGCATCTAACTGCCGTAGTGCCAATATTGTCAGGTAAAGATTGTCCATCTTGTCCACTGTTCCTGTTTTAGGCCACTCATCCACAAACTGGATGGCACTTCATGTCAAAGTGGAACACATCAATCATGGGCACTCCCACATTTCAAGATGACAGCTATAGAGTGTCTGTATGTGACTGATGGAACACTGGGACATTTTGCCCGACCAGCAAAATCACCGTAATGCAAACTCAGCATTATTGTGGGTGCTCATACACACCTACCTGTGCATGCTGGGAGTGTGTGGCTGCAGGAGTGTGTGTGGGTGTTGGACCCTCTATATCCACTCTGGGAATCCTGGAGGGAACAGAAAATATGTTACTGAATGTTATTAAACGTTATTAAATGCTAATAAAGTTACCCAGCTTAAATGTATAATGACCAAGAAAAAACACAGAAGGAAAAGATTGTAAAGCAGCATTTCCAGGGCAAATGAGCTATAAACAACATAAAAATAGGTGTCTACAGGGGGGATCTATGAGCTGCTACCGCACTTGCCACCCCAATTCTGTAGCCATAAAATACGATGCAAAATTGTATTAAGCAAAACGTGTCTGTAAAATGGACAAAACACTAAAAAAGTCTACTATTAATGTGTCGCACACAACAAGTCCAAGTGACCAGAAGTCTGTATAAAGTGTGAGTTGTTAGCCATCTGGCTACCTTGTCAGCTAGCAAGTTGATAACGTCACTGGAGATGCAGCAGTTCACAAGACTGTGTTCAGCTGTTCTGAACTACAGTTAAATTCATCTCACAGCATTATTAGAAAGCGTTAGTGCAGTTTAATTAGTTCAACTGCTCTGAAGCTTATAGCTAGTCCCTAAACTTACTTAGGTTATGTAATATAGCCCATTAATATACCCTATAGTAATATAATCTGACTTAGTTGGGAATAAGATTCAGTGTAGTACAATCTACAATGTAGTTGTTTTCCAAACACAGCTGATCAGAACAGATACACTGTGCATGTTGGTTGCTGCTGGTTTGTGAAGGTTGTTTAGTGGTCAGAAGGTTGTACGGATAATTCACAGTATTAAATAGACTCCATGGTGTACAAAATCCCTGCTACCCCTGGAAGAAATTTCTAGATCCTCCACTGGACGCCTAGTCTTGACCATTAACAGTGGTGAGACAGTAGACAGTGGATGAGAGACGCTTAGAAGAGAGCGTGGGGTGTATTACAGTTAGTTTTGCATTTGGTTCCTTTATTTTTTTTTTACATTTGCTGATTCTACATTGAAATTCTTCCACCTTAACTTACTGGGTGTATTACAGTATAGAGCGGTGGCTTTTAAGGTGGGCCACAGCCCTCAGCGGGGGCTGTGCTACAGGCCATTTTTTTTTTAAACAAAACCAGACTTTTAACCAAATCAAGGATTTTTCTGTGTGTATTATGCTGTGATATTATGTAGTCAAGTGAAATTAGATAGGCTAGATTAATTGTTGAAAATCCATGTTCATTCACTTCGTTAAATTTGCTTGCCACAAGTCAAGTCTTGTGGGCTGCAAAACCTTCTGCAAAACCTCCTCCAGTGTGGGCTACAAATTGCAAATTGTCTTACCTGGAGTAGTCAGCAGGGGGTGCTGTGGTGTGTGTGAGAACTGCTGTAGAATCTGTCTTGTCTTTATTAATCTTCTCTGCATAGCTCTCTGGAAACCAGCCACTCTTTCCTCCGTAACTTCCATACAGCCAGCCGGGCTCCCTGACTGTAGACTCGTCCACCTGAAAGGTCAGAGGAGCACAACGTTCAGGGTGGTTGAGTGACGTCAGGTGGAAAACACCTGAGTAATTGTACTTTGCTACTGTAAAAATAAACAAAATTTCAGACATTTTAAAAACTTTATAAGACTTTTTGTGGGATAAATGGGAGCTCTGGTAACACTCTGTGTGCATGCATACCTCTATGAGGCCGTCTGCCTCCAGTGTGAGTTCGTCAGCGTTGCGGGCAGTGAAGGGGTACAGGGCTCTGTAGGTGTTCAGCTTCCCCTGAGCGTTTAAAACAGGCAGCACACCTGCAGACAGAACGTACAAGGAACTCACAACCATAAAATTAACACCATGTAACTATTCTGCAAACAACGGAACTGACGTCATTCTCACAGAGCAGGATTTCTGGCTTAGCCAGCTAGTATTAAGCTTAGTTTGATCTAACTCTGGATCTTCAGTTTGAACACTTTAAACTTAGTTGCCAGGTGGTTGACCTGGTGCTCTAAGTGGTTGCTTGCATGGTGCTAGGCAGATGCTATGGTTGTTAGGTGGTTTCCATGGTATCCAAGGTAGTTGCTATGTGGTTGCTAGGGTATTGTGGTATCTCTGGTGGTTGCTAGGGTGCTGTCAGGTGGCTACTATGGTATTATAGGTGATTGCTAGTATGTTGTTCGATGGTTACTATGGTATTCCTCATGGTTTCTATGTGGTTGATATGAGATTGCTAGGTGTGCATGTTCGTACTGTGCACAAGTGTATGTATTGTGTATTTAGTGTATTACCATGCAATAAATGCACATGTATTAGTGTATTACTGTGTAATAACTGCATAAAACAAATAAAATGCAAGAAAATGTATATTATGGGCCTTTTAAAGTCAACCTAAATTCAAAATGGACTTTTTTTCAAGCAAAATCCATTGTGTTGTATCTTTCGCAAGACAAAATTCTTGTTTCTCTGTAATCTCTGATCAAAGTGTAGTGATTTCTGCCTGCCTCTAAGCGCTGTATAACATTCAGTTAAGTCACTGCGTGCCAACAGCCAGGAAAACCAATGATATCTAAGCATGTTTTCCCTCATCACCCTGACCAATCATCAGCGAGAACACCTGTCATCACCTCCTCTCCTGACTGCATATGTGTTAGCAAAAGCCTCCTTTCTTCTCCTCAGTATCTGTGTTTCGACCAGTTGTGAAATAATCATTTATTTCAGCTATTTCAGCTCGTTTACACTAAAAATCCATGTTCGTTCAGGTCATTAACAGGCGTGAGGTAGTTCAAATATCTGGTAGTCTTGAATATGAATACATATTATTTAATACATATTAAAATCAAGCTTTCAACAATGAATTGTGTTTCAGAAACTACAGAAAATACACATCAAAATGTTGCAGTACTATTTTTTGACAAAATCTGGTTGTTTTTATGTTATTTTTCTTTGACTTTCTTGTAAAACAGATGGATCCTCCTGACCATCAGAGCCTGTTTGTCGTGGAACACCCGCTTTTCATAATCCAATCAGATCCTGAAGAAAGAAATCATGTCCTCCCCACATTTATTTCCCGTCCAAGCAGCCTGTTTTACTCTGAAACATGTCATGTAAAGGAATAAAAAGGTGTTCTAATTTCTGATTCACGTCGACTCTGAAGTCAGGCGGCTCCACCTGACCTGCTGCTACAGTCGTCCTAACTAGAGCGTTTCTTTCAGAATGAACACTCGCGTCTTATAACAATCCCAGCCTCGTTTAATTACGGAGAGAGACGATTAAGTCTACTGACCGGGTCCGTTGGCTGTGCTGTTAAACAGTGCAGAGAGCTGTGAGTGAAGATCTGTATTCACACTGTTGTCAGGCTTCTTCCCTCCTTCACTCTCTCTTATCCTCTCTCTCTCTTCCGCTCTCCTCCTCTCCTCCTTCTCTCTCTCCTCCACTCTCCTCCTCTCCTCTTTCTCTCTCTCCTCCGCTCTCCTCCTCTCCTCCTTCTCTCTCTCCTCCGCACGTCTCCTCTCTCTCTCCTGGGCGATTTTCCTCTCGGCCTCCTCCTTCTGCAGTCGCTCCTGCTCCAGCTTAGCCTGTCTGAGCTCACACACACACACACAGGTTTAAGAGTGTAAGAACATGATGGTGGTCCTAATGCATATGTACGCAGTCATACACTGCCCATCAGAAGTTTGGGGACGCCTAGCTGTTAAATCGTTTTGAGAAAATGAGCAGCGTCGAGCAGTAGAAGAACGAGAGGCTGGACACTGACGGCAGAGGTGTATATGTGCATAAGTGTTCACCTGGCCTCCTCTTCCTCTCTCCTCCTCCTCTCCTCCTGCTCCTGTCGTCGTCTCTGCAGCTCCTTCACTTTCTCTGCTTTCACTCGGCTCAGCTGCTCCAGCACTGCCTGCTGCTGTCGCTGCCTCTCCCTCAGCTCCTACAGCGCCAATACAACACAAAACTCTCAAACATTACACCTGACACCAATGTGCATAATCTCCATTAGCTCTGCTATTAGCTTTGACATTATCCCAAACTTTGCTGTATTGGTACTATTGATGTACTGATGTATATTGTCAGTGTTGGGACAGAACCTCGCAAAAATGGCAACTTTACGGAAGGAAAACAGTTCCTAAAAGGCTCAGATTCAACATTTTTCTTCTTAAGTCCACTTATAGTGTTTATATGTGTGTTTTAGTGTGCCAAAAACAGTCATAATCCATTTTTACCATTTTCCAACTTCCCTTTATCCCTTACAATTAACAGCCTGATTTTGCTACTGTGCCTTTAAGATTAAGCTCTGTTCTGATTGGCCTGTATTGTGCCTCATTCATAAAGCAGTATACACAGAAACACTGCTTATAACTCCAGCTTGAGTGGGCGGAGCTAAACTGCTCTGGACTTAGTAGGCGGATGTACAGTGGTATGAAAACGTTTAAACACTCCTAGTCAAAAAAGAGAACACATTAAATGTGACATTTTTCTGCAATTTAGTGCACAATTTCTTTTATCTTGCTGATTTTAACATATTGGAAATAAATAAAACATAAAATAGAAAATGCGCTCTCAACTTTTGCACAGGCCACATTTTATGATGCATTATTTTTTCCATATATTAAATTCAGCAGATAAACAGCAACAGAGCATTACAATGTGCAGAAGTGTGTTCTTTGCAGAGACATCACAAAAACAATAACATCAAAAGCAGCTTAGTTTGTGGTGTGGTATGTTTTGAAACCTGAAGCTAACAATTTTACATACTAAATCAAACTTATTTTAAAAAAATAGGCGATGAAAATTCAGTTTGAATGAAGTTAATGTAAAAGATATTTTTTTCCAAAAGTAATTTTGGACCATTTCTATTTGCCATTTTTAAATTCTGTAAACAACAAAAATGGACATACAAGGTTTTGTCCCAACAGCGACGATATACTGTACACACTACAGGCCAAGTATGGAAGAACATTTCAAAAGGTAAACAAGTTCACTTACATGGTCACTGAATAAGTGAACACAATGCAAGATTTTCAAGCTATCATTTAATATGTCAAATCTTCTTTCTAATAACTGATAAACAGTGCTGATAACTAGGAGAGTGGAGCTGGTTAGCATTAGCTTAGCTAGCACAATGACAGCTTGGCTCACCACAGAGCATGTTGGATTCTAGCTAACTAAACCACAGACAGAAGTTTAGATGATGACGATCCAAATCTGAGGGACTGAAGTTGAGCGACTGCCGCTGAAGAGACTGAAAGGAGACATTAAACCTGTTTGCGGTGTTAGCATCTTGTAGCCATGTTGGCTAACTTAACGTTAGCTTAGCGAGGAGGCTACAGACCCAAACAGTGCTGCACATCACTGTGCAGGTTTGATTCTGACTAACTGCTGCTCTGCTGAAACAAGTGTTGACAATAAAAACTAATGTCTGAGACAGTAAAAGTGGAGTAACTGGTGTTGAAATGACTGAAAGCTGAAATCAAACCTGTTCTGTGGTGTCTGGGACTGTAACATTTTGGCTAAGCTAATGAAAGCTTAGTTAGCAAGCTGCCACACAGCACAACACAGGCTTGGTTCCAGCTAAGTGAATCTAAAACGATGCCTGATATCTGAGGGAGGGAGTTTTAGAGTGAACGTAGAAAGCCGAAATGGGACTGTAGCCTTTTGGCTAAGCTAACGTGAGCTTAGTTTGCAGGCCAAACTTGTCGCACAGGCTTGGTTCCAGCTACCCAGATAGCAAGCATATGTCGGTCCGCTGGCTTGATAAGATCGGCACCCCGCTGACTGTTTGCCGCTGCTGGTCCACCCTCGGACCACCCAGTTACTGTCCTGCATACAAGCTCTACCTAGTTTAATCTTCTCAAACAGATTTTAAATGCACAGAGACTTTTAATTTGGAAAATAAGACAAATATGACAAACAACCGAGAGAAAAAATAATATAAATGTCCTTCTATAAAATGATTTTATAGAAAATGTTGCCGCTGACACTGAGCTAGATTAAAATTATTTACTAAAGTAATTTACAAAGTATAACTAAAGATAGGAAGGAAGGAAAAATAAGAAAATTAGACTGTGAGCGGACAATAAGCAATAATAAGTAGAATTTTGTCAAATACTCCACTTTACCACCGGTGGGCCGCCCAGAAAATGCTGAGCAAAACACCAGTGGACCGCCAGCTTTGCCATCAGCGGGCCAACAGTGGTCCAATATCCTCTTGCTATCTGGTAACTGATGCTAAAATGATGCCTGTTTAGAGGATACCTGAAAGTACAAAGTCGACTCTTACAGTGAAAGCTGAAATCAAACCTGTTCTGTGGTGTGTCTAGCTTTTAGTCATCGGTCAGCCTATAATTCTTAGCCAAAGTCATTTGCAGCATCTCAGGCTTAGTTTTCTAAGGATTTTCCTGATTTCTCCTAGTTTGTCTGATTTCTCCCCCTCATCCTATCGGTGAGCCCCTGGGTGGAACGTGTTTATTTGGCCAAACAGAAATCTGACTTGTCATAATTTAGGAATATCATCATCGTTTTTAAATACCAGCATCACTGTTATATCCTGCTGCTTCCAAGCTTTTGGCCTGTAGTGCACTTGCAGCTTTTCTGGTGCTACCTGAACTAATGCTTTCTGTATATTCATGAAGCAACAGCAAAATAATGGTTCATGAATGATGTGGGTGCGCTGGTTTGATTGATGTGCCCTCAAAAACTCAAAACAAACACAGCTGCCATTCAGATTTGGCCTAAAAAGGAATTAACCAGACATATAATTAAAGTGAGCCAAGACAACAACAAACCCACTGCTACAATCAAGCATTTCCGAAGTGCTTACATTTACATAATGATTCTTTCTCTAATACTTACTCACACAAATTGTTTTGTATATGTCTATTTTTGTATTTTGTAGAGGGCTTTGATGAAAATGAGGTTCTCGGCTCAGCTGGCTGAGCTCTGAGTTAAATTAAAGCAGTTTGGTGATTAAACTGAGCAGGTTTTTCAGGGGAAATGGTCCCATTTATTCCCTTTCTTCCTGATTGTTAACGATGCTCCTAAAACTTGCTTTGGCTCTGAATTCGAGGTGTAATAAGAGCAGTGTGGCTGGAAGGAAAGCGACAGAATCTCATCCCCTCCTTCCTCAAATTTCGGCAGCTTTGTCTGCTGGAGATGTTTGGGGAGTGAATATGAGCCATTTCTATTCATGACACGATGATGATGACGGTAGAAGATGCCCGAGGACGAAGGCTCGCTCTTCCACAGTGTTCAATACACGTATTGAGTTTACATTTAATGAGGAAACTAGTAAGCGCACAGTTTTTTCCACTACAGTGCCCACGTCCACATGCTTCTTAAAGGGGAATTCCACCAACTGTCCAAAATTTCTGCGTAATTAAGTGGTTAAGATGTAAACAAAGTCATTCAGAGTGGTTTTCTGTGAAAAGTTCCATTCTAGAGAAACTTGCTGAGTCACAATCATTCACAGTGGTGGTGATAGGAACCAGATGTCTGAAGAGTTCAATGCCTTTGAAAGCTCACAGAAAGCTATTACATGAAATAGTTATGAATATGCTGCCTGCTGCCTGAGATGATAGTTTTGAGATGGTTTTGACATTTAAATTAAATGTTTTTTTAAAACCGATCATGTTGGAGAGGTACATGCAGGACGTTGTGAGGTAAAATAGTCCCCAAAAGAAAACACATTTTTTCAGATTTATGACTATTTTACCATCCTCTACATTACATATAAAACTCAGAGGGCATGTGCAGGTTCACTGGTGGCTTTGGATAGTAAATAAAATGGCAAATTTGTAAATAAAATGGCAATTTGTGTTGTGGACATGGTGACCCCTGGTTCCTATCACCACCACTGTAAAGAGAACTGAGTCTGTAAGTTTCTCTACAATGAACTATTTCACATCAAACCACTCTGAAATGACTCTGTTTACACCTCAGCCACTGAATTATTCAGAAATTTTGAAACATTGGTGGAATTCCCCTTTTAAATATATTGTGACTGGACACCATCCAGGCATAAACAGGTCACTGTGCAACCACTGACTTACACAAATAGAGAAAAGACAGCTTTGCTTTTGTCTTATCATTTATATCTTTCTTTCTGTGGTTACTGATCTGTTTTAATGCTTTAGTCTACATTTCGGAGACACTAAGACGGAGCTGCAGTGCAGATTCACCGTAGAATCTTCACATTATATACACAGTGTTTGAGCAGCGGTCAGTGGAGGGTGCGAGCTTTCATCCATGGCTTATGTGATTAGGGATCAGATGTTAAAGTTCACATATGGAGCTGGAAGATGGAGGGATGCTCTCAGATGAGTGTAAAGGCTGGAATGAGAGGAAAGGAGCGAAAAGAGAACCTTAATTAGAAGGAAGAGATTGGTTAGACAGCCCAACAAAGACAGAAGGCCCTTTAGCACACAGTCATCCATGTCCACTAACTATAGGGAGGTAAAAGAAAGAAAGAAAGAAAGAAAGAAAGAAAGAAAGAAAGAAAGAAAGAAGGGGGAAAAAGAGTAAAGATATACAGACAAAGTAAAGATTAAGATAAGATCACTAAGATCCCAGAGGAAGAAAGAAAGAAAGAAAGAAAGAAAGAAAGAAAGAAAGAAAGGCGAAAAGTGCAAAGATGTGCAGACAAAGTAAAGATTAAGACAAGAAAAGATCACTAAAATCCCAGAGAAAAGAAAAGTAAAAGAAAGAAAGAAAGAAAGAAAGAAAGAAAGAAAGAGGAAAAGAGTAAAGATATACAGACAAAGATTCAAATTAAAATCAATAAAACTCCAGAGAAAAAGGTAAAGAAAGAAAGATAGATAGATCTGGAACAGTAAACATTAGTATGGTGTATTATTATCTGATGAAACAGTGTCTGTTACTGTGTGCAGTGGGAGTGTTTAGATCACTGTTATAGTCTCACTGTTATAGTGTTAGTGTTATAGTGTCACTGTTATAGTGTTAGTGTTATAGTGTCACTGTTATAGTGTCACTGTTATAGTGTCACTGTTATAGTGTTAGTGTTATAGTGTTACTGTTATAGTGTTAGTGTTATAGTGTCACTGTTATAGTGTCACTGTTATAGTGTTAGTGTTATAGTGTCACTGTTATAGTGTCACTGTTATAGTGTTAGTGTTATAGTGTTACTGTTATAGTGTCACTGTTATAGTGTTAGTGTTATAGTGTCACTGTTATAGTGTCACTGTTATAGTGTCACTGTTATAGTGTTAGTGTTATAGTGTTACTGTTATAGTGTCACTGTTATAGTGTTAGTGTTATAGTGTCACTGTTATAGTGTCACTGTTATAGTGTTAGTGTTATAGTGTTACTGTTATAGTGTTAGTGTTATAGTGTCACTGTTATAGTGTTACTGTTATAGTGTTAGTGTTATAGTGTCACTGTTATAGTGTTAGTGTTATAGTGTTACTGTTATAGTGTTAGTGTTATAGTGTCACTGTTATAGTGTCACTGTTATAGTGTTAGTGTTATAGTGTCACTGTTATAGTGTTAGTGTTATAGTCTCACTGTTATAGTGTTACTGTTATAGTGTTAGTGTTATAGTGTTAGTGTTATAGTGTTAGTGTTATAGTGTCACTGTTATAGTGTCACTGTTATAGTGTTAGTGTTATAGTGTTACTGTTATAGTGTTAGTGTTATAGTGTCACTGTTATAGTGTCACTGTTATAGTGTTAGTGTTATAGTGTCACTGTTATAGTGTCACTGTTATAGTGTTAGTGTTATAGTCTCACTGTTATAGTGTTACTGTTATAGTGTTAGTGTTATAGTCTCACTGTTATAGTGTTACTGTTATAGTGTTACTGTTATAGTGTTAGTGTTATAGTGTTAGTGTTATAGTGTCACTGTTATAGTGTCACTGTTATAGTGTTACTGTTATAGTGTTAGTGTTATAGTGTTAGTGTTATAGTGTCACTGTTATAGTGTCACTGTTATAGTGTTAGTGTTATAGTGTTACTGTTATAGTGTTAGTGTTATAGTGTCATTGTTATAGTGGTAGTGTTATAGTCTCACTGTTATAGTGTTACTGTTATAGTGTTAGTGTTATAGTGTTAGTGTTATAGTGTCACTGTTATAGTGTCACTGTTATAGTGTTAGTGTTATAGTGTTACTGTTATAGTGTTACTGTTATAGTGTCACTGTTATAGTGTTAGTGTTATAGTGTCACTGTTATAGTGTCACTGTTATAGTGTTAGTGTTATAGTGTTACTGTTATAGTGTTAGTGTTATAGTGTCATTGTTATAGTGTTAGTGTTATAGTCTCACTGTTATAGTGTTACTGTGAAAGTGTGTGTTTTCATTTACTAATTTATAGTAAGGTAATGCTGACTTCTAGCAGCCCTATAGGAACATTTCTAGAACCTATCTAGAAAGGAGCAGAGTGAGGTTTGAGCTGGACCTTCATGTCCCGGTTGTAGCACTCCATCTCACACAGCTTGGCTGTCGTCTCTCTCTCCAGAGCGTCCAGCTGCTCCTTCAGCTTCCTACAGCTCAGATCCTTCTCACACATGCTCTGCTTCAAATCACTCACTCCCGTGCCTGAGAGAGGGAGAGAGAGAGAGAGAGAGAAAGAGAGAAAGAGAGAGAGGGGGGGGGAGAGAGACAGAGAGAGAGAGAGAGAAAGGGAGAGGGAGACAGAGAGAAGAGAGGGAGAGAGAGAGAGAGAGAGGGAGAGAGAGAGAGACAGAGAGAGAAAGGGAGAGAGAGACAGAGAGAGAGAGAGAGTCTTTTACACATACCCTTTCACATCTATCTACCTATTTATTTATGCATTCATCCATGTGTCCATCCATCCAAGTAGACATCCATCCATCTATCCATCCTTCTGTCCGTCCATCCATCCATCCAAGTATACACCCACCCATCCATCCATCCATCCCTGCAAATATACATCCATCCAAGTGTACACCCAACCATGTAACCATGCATCCATCCATCCAGACATCCATCTGACTCCTTCTATCTATGCATCCATCCATCCATCCACCCATCCATTTATGACTCCCTCTATCCACACATCCATCCTAGCATCCATCCATCCATCCATCCATGACTCCCTCTACCCATGCATGCATCCATTCGTCCATCCATCCATCTACAACTCCCTCTGCCCATGCATGCATCCATCCATCTATGGTTCCACCCATCCATGCAAGCATTCATCCATCCATCCATTCATCCATTTATGACTCCCTCTATCCACGCATCCAACCATCCATGAGTCCCTCTATCCATGCATGCAGCCATTCATCCATCCATCTGTCTACAACTCCCTCTATCCACGCATCCATCAATCCATCCACACATCCATCCATTCATCCATCCATCCCTCTATGGCTCCACCCATCCATGCAAGCATCCATCCATCCATCTGTTTAAAGCAGTGTGTTTTCTTACGTGTAGTGCTGGACTGTGTGAGTTCTCTCAGTCTGTCTGCTATTTTCAGCCTCTCTGGAGTCAGATTAGTCAGCTGCCTCTGAACATCCTGAGAACAACAAAGCCTTTCAACAGAACATCAACACTGCACAATAATAAAACGTCTTCCATAACACTGGAAACATCTAACACATCTTCTTCCCATGTGCAGTTTTGGTGACATAAACAATTACTGAAGGTCTTTTACCTGTAGAAGTTTAGAAGTTCAGAATTTGGTGATAACAAAAGCAGGTCGTTAGGAATCAACCAATCGCAGCTCATTGAACAAAGCAGAGAAACTTTAAATCTATACCACATTTGTGTTTGTAACTGACCTGTCAATACAGAATATGAATCAAATATAAACATCTGCATTTGATTTTAACTGATTAAACAAAAATGAACCAGACAAATATCTTCAAACCTCAAACTGCAGCTGCAGAGAGTTGATGTCGGCGATGCGACCGTCCCGCTTCTGATTGATGAGCTCTAGCTCCGCCCTCTGAACCCGCCTCTTGCTCTGGGCTTCGCGGAGGCAGTCTGAAATCTGCTTGTGCTTGTTGCCCTGTGAGAGACACAGACTGATTTGAGAATCCAGCCTTTCGACTCAAACTACACTCCACTCTTAGTCCTTTGAGTTACGCCACTGTTGTTCTCATAAAGAACCGTGTTTGAAAAAGAGGCTTAAACAACCTTTTTAAGGTTTAAGAATGAGAGTCTCATATAAAGCAGTGTGTAAATCTGACCACAGCCTCCAGCTCCAGCTCCAGGCTCCTCTTCCTGGCTGTGAGTCTCTCGATGTCTCGCTTCTCTCTCTCTCTCTGAGCCTGAAGCTCTGCGTGCTTCGCCCTCTCCCACTCCATCCGTCTCTGTCTCTCTGCTGCCTGGGGACGGGAGAAATTCACAGCTATAATCTGTTTACAGTCATTGCTTGTAAAGTTATGCGTTAAATACGAGTCACTCTGGATGTTAAAGCTGCATTTTTCTTACAAATGGAAGAAAGAGCATTACTGAGAAAGCAGAGGAAAAACATTACTCTGAAAGACGGTGTCCCTGCACTGCTGCTCGTCGCCTCATACAGCCTAAAATATTCATTCAAAAGTCTGAGCTGTCAGATCAGATTTGGCGAAAGTTTTGCAGAATTCAGTGAACTGACATCACGCTAATGCCACACGCTCGAAAAACGTCCGCATATGATTATTTCTTATATATCAATTCTGTACAGCTTTCTCAGCTGTTTTATAATGAGATTTTTTTATTTCTGTGGATGTAATCAAAGGCCCAATCCCACTTCACCCCTCATCCCCACCACTTAGCCCTACCCCTCTGTTTTGCGTGTTCACGTCTAGGGGTAAGGTGTCTGTGTCTGATTTCTGTTGAGATAAAGGGGTAGAGAGAAGTATTGGGGCTACGTGACCCTCCAAACGGAGGCTTTAGAGACTCACTCCAAACAGAGTGCTATGAGAAAAAAAGAAAAACTGGCAAGATGGCTGAACAAGAGACCAAAGAAACCCACAATTGTGAGAATTTTCTCAGTTAAAAATTACGATAACCACTGTATTATCTTAGTTTAATGTCGTTTCAGTGTATTATGGTCCTTTTCTTCATAACGAGCATCAAAAACCCCTCGTAGTATGCTGATGTCTCAGTGGCTAACTAGCTAACTTTCCCGTTCCACCTTAAATAGTCCAGCAGTTCTGACGCCTGAAGCGCCAGAATGTAACTGCTGCTCCATTTAAGGTGGAAGAGGGAAATTCAAACCAGAAGCTGGTGAATATCTGACTTCAGCTTCATATCACTGAAAAATTAGGGGTGGGTGATAATAAATAATTGCCCCCCCGCTTTGAAGGCATATGATACCCTAAATGTAACTAAAGCCCAGCAGTGAGGAGCTGAACTTTCACCCTCCTCTGCTGTCACTGCAGACTGGCAGGGTCGCCTACAGAGCAGCGCTAGTAGCTGTTAATGAAGTGATGCTCTTTTTACTTGAGGATAACATTTCAACCACTTCCCCTTGTAAATCAGTTCCAAGGGACAAGGTGAGATTCGAAAATGAGGGGTAGGGGTGAAAATAAGAAATGGGACTGGGCCTCATTCAATCAGAGCGGTTGGAACCAGATACCTGAAGAGTTTAATGCCTCTAAAAGCTCCAGAAAGTTATTACATGAAATGGTTATGAGTATTCTGCATGATGCCTGACACAGGTGGTTGCTAGGGTGATTGCTGTTATTCTAGGTGGTTACTAGCATGTTGCCAGGCAGTTGCTATGGTGTTCATGGTGGTTGCTAAGGTGTTTCTAGGTGGTAACTATAGTATCCCAGGTGGTTGCTAGGGTGTTGCTGGGTGGTGGCTATGCTTTTCTTTATGGTCTTTACTAGGGTGTTTCTAGGTGATAACTATAGTAATCCAGGTGGTTGCTAGGTAGTTTCTATGGTATCCCAGGTGTTTGCTACGGTGTTGCTAGGCAGTTGCTGTGGTGTTCATGGTGGTTGCTAGGGTGTTTCTAGGTGGTAACTATAGTAATCCAGGTGGTTGCTAGAGTGGTAACTTTAGTATCCCAGGTGGTTGCTAGGGTGTTGCTAGGCAGCTGCTATGGTATCTTTGGTGGCCACCAAGGCATTGGTGTTATGAGGTTGCTGTGGTGTCCATGGTGGTTTCTAGGGTGTTGCTATGTGGTTGCTATGGTATCGCAGGTGGTTGCTAGGGTGTTGCTAGGCAGTTGCTGTGGTGTTCATGGTAGTTGCTATGGTGTTTCTAGGTGGTAACTATAGTAATCCAGGTGGTTGCTAGAGTGGTAACTATAGTATCCCAGGTGGTTTCTAGGGTGTTACAAACTAGTTGCTATGGTATCTTTGGTGGCTGCCAAGGCATTGGTGTTATGAGGTTGCTATGGTGTCCATAGTGGTTCCTTAGGTGTTGCTATGTGATTGCTATGGTGTCGCAGGTGGTCGCTAGAATGTTGCTAGGCAGTTGCTGTGGTGTTCATGGTGGTTGCTATGGTGTTTCTAGGTGGTAACTATAGTAATCCAGGTGGTTGCTAGGGTGGTAACTATAGTATCCCAGGTGGTTGCTAGGGTGGTAACTATAGTATCCCAGGTTGTTGCTAGGGTGTTATAAACCAGTTGCTATGGTATCTTTGGTGGCTGCCAAGGCATTGGTGTTTTGAGGTTGCTATGGTGTCCATGGTGGTTTCTAGGGTGTTGCTGTGTCTTTGCTACCATATCTCTGGAAGTTGCTAGGGTGTTGCTAGGTGGTTGCTACAGCATCTAATGTGGCTGCTAGAATGTTGCTAGGCAGTTGCTGTGGTGTTCATGGTGGTTGCTAGGGTGTTTCTAGGTGGTAACTATAGTAATCCAGGTGGTTGCTAGAGTGGTAACTTTAGTATCCCAGGTGGTTGCTAGGGTGTTGCTAGGCAGCTGCTATGGTATCTTTGGTGGCCACCAAGGCATTGGTGTTATGAGGTTGCTATGGTGTCGCAGGTGGTCGCTAGAATGTTGCTAGGCAGTTGCTGTGGTGTTCATGGTGGTTGCTATGGTGTTTCTAGGTGGTAACTATAGTAATCCAGGTGGTTGCTAGGGTGGTAACTATAGTATCCCAGGTGGTTGCTAGGGTGGTAACTATAGTATCCCAGGTTGTTGCTAGGGTGTTATAAACCAGTTGCTATGGTATCTTTGGTGGCTGCCAAGGCATTGGTGTTTTGAGGTTGCTATGGTGTCCATGGTGGTTTCTAGGGTGTTGCTGTGTCTTTGCTACCATATCTCTGGAAGTTGCTAGGGTGTTGCTAGGTGGTTGCTACAGCATCTAATGTGGCTGCTAGAATGTTGCTAGGCAGTTGCTGTGGTGTTCATGGTGGTTGCTAGGGTGTTTCTAGGTGGTAACTATAGTAATCCAGGTGGTTGCTAGAGTGGTAACTTTAGTATCCCAGGTGGTTGCTAGGGTGTTGCTAGGCAGCTGCTATGGTATCTTTGGTGGCCACCAAGGCATTGGTGTTATGAGGTTGCTATGGTGTCGCAGGTGGTCGCTAGAATGTTGCTAGGCAGTTGCTGTGGTGTTCATGGTGGTTGCTATGGTGTTTCTAGGTGGTAACTATAGTAATCCAGGTGGGTGCTAGGGTGGTAACTATAGTATCCCAGGTGGTTGCTAGGGTGGTAACTATAGTATCCCAGGTTGTTGCTAGGGTGTTATAAACCAGTTGCTATGGTATCTTTGGTGGCTGCCAAGGCATTGGTGTTTTGAGGTTGCTATGGTGTCCATGGTGGTTTCTAGGGTGTTGCTGTGTCTTTGCTACCATATCTCTGGAAGTTGCTAGGGTGTTGCTAGGTGGCTGCTACAGCATCTAATGTGGCTGCTAGGATGTTGCTAGGCAGTTGTTATGGTATCCCAGGTGGTTTCTTGGATGTAGTGAGGCAGTTGCTATAGTTTTTGACAGGACTAGCATATTAGCATCATTTTCTAGATCTGTCCAGAATCAAACTGGTTTTATTGTATTTGAAGCAGTGATTCCAAACTTGTGAACAGTGTTTGCGCACTTTTACGTGGTAAATGTACCTCTTGCCGCTCCAGTTCTTTCAGTCTCTCCTCTTCCCTCCGTCTCTCCATCTCTCTCTGCCTCTCCATCCGCTGCTCCTCCTCTCTCTGCCTGCGCAGCGCCAGCTCCCGCGCCTCCCTCTCTCTCCGCTCCTGCTCCTCCCTCTCTTTCTGCCGTCTCCTTTCCTCTTCTCTCCTCTCCTCCTCTCTCCTGCGTTCCTCCTCCCTCCGCTGCTCCTCCTGTAGAGCCAGCCGTCGTTTCTCTAGCTCCAAGTTGCCCCTCTGGAAATTCTCCTTCAGTTTATCCTCAAAAGACACTGAGAGAGAGAATTAAATCAGATGCTGTATTTCTACTTAATACATTTTAAATTTGCCAGGTTTTATTAAATCTGTTTCAGCCATACCTGAAAACGTGGTACTTGTTTAAAAATGCTAGATGTTAAATGGTATTAAAATGAAATACACGCTAACCTGACACATTTTACAGCCCACCCCCCACTAAACAGGTTATCTGTAATGTCACAGAACAGGGCCATGTCTATGTACAGATCAGCGATAGCTTGCAAAATGGACGAGGTTCTATTAGGACATGTCCCACATTCGTTATGTGAGAGTAATGACTGGGTGTGTGTGGGCAGGCCAACAAAGCGGCCTTAGACTAAAAAAGAGAACAGCTTCAACTATATCTTGCTTAATCTAGAATGGCCAAAAATGTTCCTGTGATTTGCAGTTAGCTTAGCGCTAACATACTACTGGGATCCCATAGAGGTTAAGTGTATGTGTTGAACTGGTGTGTTTACATGTCTGTGTGTGTGTGTGTGTGTGTGTGTGTGTGTGTGTGTGTGTGTACCGTTACTCTTGCTCTTCTGTGGAAGTTCTGGTTCAATGAGGTCAGTGTTGATAACAGGAACGGAGCCATTCAGCAGGTCACATGACTTCCCTGTTCTATACATGTACACACATAAAAACAACAAAATAATATTAAGAAATCAGAACTGAAACATGTCCACTTCTTATAGTTTGCATAATACTTGTCTACATCTATATATAACACTCACACTGGACAGTAGGCAAAAGTACAAGGTAGGGGTTTCTAGTAAAGTGGCCAGTAAATGGAAGTACAAGGTAGGGGTTTCTAGTAAAGTGGCCAGTGTGTGGAAGTACAAGGTAGGGGTTTCTAGTAAAGTGGCCAGTGAGTGAAAATAAAGGGTAGGTGTTTCTAATAAAGCGGCCAGTGAGTGGAAGTACAAGGTAGGGGTTTCTAGTAAAGTGGCCAGTGAGTGGAAGTACAAGGTAGGGGTTTCCAATAAAGTGGCCATGTAAGTGGAAATAAAATGTAGGTGTTTCTAATAAAGTGGCCAGCCAGTGAAATTACAAGGTAGTTGTTTCTAATAAAGCGGCCAGTTAGTGGAAGTACAAGGTAGGCATTTCTAATAAAGTGGCCACTGAGAGGAAGAATAAGTTAGGTGTTTCTAATAAAGTGGCCAGTAAGTGGAGTGCCTGTATGTGTGTGTCTGTGTGTTCCAACCCATTACCTGAAAGACGGTGGCACTAGATCAGCAGGAAGGGTGAGGGGTAAGGGGTGGCCAGTTTTGGCCATGTCCACCAGATGCATAGCCAGAATAAACTCTTCTGCTCGCAACTGACCATCACGATCCACATCCGCTAAAGTCCTAGTGACAGTAACAGACATATGTGCACACATACAAACACGTACATACACACACAAACATGTGCACACAGTGATAAAGTACACACTGACAACAGGTCTACACACAAACACACAGCATGTGTTGTCTGTACTTTGAGGCCGACCCGCCTGTAGTCCAGCATTTGAAAAAATAAGACATGTTAAAGGAATACTCCAGCGTTTTTCACCCTAATCTCCGGGGCTGTGAACAGATATTTTGGGGAGCAGGGGCACAGTATGCTTTTTTATCCAGATTTATCCGGTCTAATCACATTTCATTAGCAGCATTAGGAGTGGAAGTGGGCAATGTGATAATATTTTATCATTGTTGTCGTATCTTTTGTTATCGTGATAAACAATATGCATTTCTGAGCATGATGTGAACATCATCAGTACCTAAATAACACTGATTAACTGCAGGTTTCGCTACAAAGAGGGCATAGTTAGTCCTCTTTAATCAGATTTAGTGCAGTACAGTGTGTAAAATGTTAAATTAAAATCATTGTATTCATAGTTTTGGATAGCAGTTTTCAAATGCGGCACAAATAGTGCATTTGGTCTGTCACAATATTGTGATATGTATCGTGTATCATGAAAATATTTGGCTAACACTTAGCATGTTACACCAGCTTTAACCAAGAGGGGTGGCTGTGGACCAGATTAAAAAAATGCCTAAAAAGTGGCTAACAGATAAAATGCTATACCAGCTCTGACCAGCAGGGGTGGCTAATTTATTCCCCCTTACCCTTAAAATGTAATGAAGCATTTATATAAAACGGTGTTACAATGAACACTTGGTTGTGTTACGCAAGTGTTGCAACTATGGCAACTGTGAAGGCCATTCTTGGTGTCCTTCTAGTGTATTCTATTAAAAAAAACTTTAAAATAAAATATTTACGACAAACATCTTCCAATGTCTTCAGTAGCTGCGTACATCAAGCTGCAGCAGCCGCATTTGTAAAGGACTTTATTAGAAAGAATTACGTCCGCTGCCTTTTTCATATGGTGGGGTTTACATACACGTCGCTGCTGATTGGGTAACACCACGGACACAATCATCAAACGCGAGAAAACGTACCTCAAAGTCCATTTCGCACTGTTTCGCACTGTTTCGACAAAACGTATAATTCAACCAGAAAAACGTAGCAAAGTTCTGCACAATGTTATGACATTGAACGTGCCCCAGGTGAAAAACTAGGGAGCTAACTCGCTAACAATTAGCTACGGTAAGGGGAAGAAAAGATAAATAGCCGTCCCCTGCTGGTCAGAGATGGTATAGCATGCTAATTGTCCCCACACAGTCCCCATTATTTTTTTTCTCCTAGTCCCTGAACGGCAGGGGGAAGATAAGAAAAAAAACAGCCGCCCCCTGCTGGTTAAAACTGGTGTAACATGCTAAGTGTTAGCCGATATTTTTAAACACTCTTTTGTGGTCCACTACAGATGCGGCAGACAAAGATTAGGCTGAAAAATGCTGGAATATGCTTTTAAAACGTGTATTTGTTTAGTCACTGTTATGAGCACTCACCATATGGTGGCCAGCTGAGTCTGGGTAAGGTTAGAGGCAGTTAGGGCATTTCTGACCTGAGGACCTACAAATATAAAGACACACACAAACATAATTATGTGCAGCTATTAAATACATCTCTCTCTTACACCACGAAAGTCAGAGACCATCCTTCATTTATTTAATTTCCCATCAAAACAGCCATGAAGTGCAAGTTTTAAGTACAGTTACTTGTGAGGGGACTGGACACAGTGTGCAACCAACCTCTAAGACTGAACTTTACAGGTTCATCCCTGCAGATTTGTTTGGAAAACAGAAAGAAAATGTCTTTAAAAGAATAAATGTGTAATGAAAAAAAAAAAAAGTGGACACGCTAAATACTAAAAACTTTGATATTATATTTAGCTGTTGTAATTTTCTGTTAAATATATATTTCATATATATTTTTTCCTGACGAGAAAAATGAATAAATGTATTTATTGGCTGTTTTACTGAAAATGAAACCATTAGTATTTTGGGCTTGGCCCATTTTTTGCCTAGGGGTCCCATATAAACAAACACAAATGAACACGCTCTTAAAAATGATGGTTCTTCAAGGGTTCTTTAGTAAAGACAATGGCTCTATGCAGAACCATGAACACCCAAAGAACCATTTGCACACTTAAAAAGTTCAATGTGTCTTCAGATTGATGGAGAATGTATTGTATATGTTCTATATAGCACCAAAATGGTTCTGCTATTGTTACACTGTCAAGCTTGTAACAATAGAAGAATCCTTTTTGGTGCCATACAGAACATATACAACACATTCTCCATCAATCTGAAGAACCACTTCACCATGCAAGCATGCAAATGGTTCTTTGAGTCTACACTGTTCTATATAGAACCATTTTCTTTAATAAAGAACCCTTGTAGAACCATCTTTTTTAAGAGTGAAATACAGACACACACCTGACAGGTATCCGCTCATCAGTTTGTCCAGGCTGTTGAACTGCTGGCGGTATTTGAGGCGGGACGACTGAGGCACCGCCCAATCAGACGCTCCGGTCTTTGGGGAGTTACTCGCCAGGGAGGTGGTGGAGGAGGAATTAGAGCTGAGGCAGCCAATAGGGAATCAAAAAGCATACATCATGAATAAACATGCATACACTGAGCAAAACCCCAGCCACGCTCCACTAATCAGAAATCCCAACACTGTAATCACATAAATTTATCATTTACAGTTGCAATGCAGTTGTATGCAAAAGTTTGGGCACCCCTGGTCTAATAGCATGCTTTGTTGAGTGAAAGTAAGTTATTGCGTCCTCTACAGAGAACACACTACTGCACATTGTAATGCATCTTTACTGTTTGTTTGCAGAATTTAACATATTGGGGGGAAAAACTGTAAAAAAGTTTATATTTAACGTGTTATGTTTTCCAATATGTTAAACTCAGTGGAACCCGTGCTCAAAAATCTGCAGATAAATGGCACATTTAAGTGTGTTCCCTGTAGGGCCCATCTGTCAAACACAAGGTCCACGGGCCAAGTCAGGCCTGTGACTCAGTTCTATTCGGCCTGCAAAATTATTTTAATTTTCCATTCTTATCAGCCCGTTTCACCCTGAGATGCACTACAGTCCCCAGCATGCACTGCAACATAGTGTGCGTTCTGACCTCCTTCCCCCAACAACAATCTATGGGCCAGCAGTTACACAAAAGGAAAAGATGCCTGGTGTCCAGTTCAAGCAAACAGGCAGTTTTAAAAAAACTACCTAAAACAGTTTATTTTTATTTAGCATTATTTTTCAATACGTTTTCAGTGCCTATTTTGCTGTGGCAATTTGGCATATTTTGAATAAACAATTCAGGTCATGGCGAAATGTTAAGTAAAAATGAAATAAAACCACATTTTTAATTTTTAATATGGCCCTTTTAGTGGTGGAGTTCGACTCCCCTGCAGTGCGGTGTTAATTTATTTACATAGAAAACCAACAAAGCATGTCATCAGACCAGGGGTGCCAAAACTTGTTGCCAATACAACTATGTATACATATGCCCACACGCACAGTACAAATCAGGCATATTAGAAGTCCACTGTTGGAGGGCACTGAGGTCACTGGAGTTGAGGAATTGCATTAGCATGTTCAGAAGCGGAGGCAGCGCTACTCTTAACAATACTGCCGCAGGAACTGTACGTGTGTGTTTGCTTATGTAACAGCAGTGTTTTCTGACGAAGCCCAGTCAACATGCACTACTGCACACACACCTATACACACACGCAGTTTTATTTACCCTACACTGTCTGAGAACCGGTTCAGCTTACAGCAACTATCACTACGATCACTATTCAGACTGAATCACCTGACCTATTAACACAAGGCAGCTGTACAGAATGACACGCTTTAACACAGATATACATGAATAGAGCAGGTCCTATTTGGGTGGTGGATCATTCTCAGCACTGCAGTAACACTGACGTGGTGGTGTGTTAGTGTGTGTTGCGCTGGTCTGAGTGGATCAGACACAGCAGTGCTGCTGGAGCTTTAAACACTGTGTCCACTCACTGTCCACTCTATTAGACACTCCTACATTGTCAGTCCACCTTGGATTTGTAGAGTGAGAGACGATAGCTCATCTGCTGCTGCACAGTCTGTGTTGGTCATCCTCCAGTCCTTCATCAGTGGTCACAGGACGCTGCCCACAGGACGCTGTTGGCTGGATATTTTTGGTTGGTGGACTATTCTCAGTCCAGCAGTGACACTGAGGTGTTTAAAAACTCCAGCAGCACTGCTGTGTCTGATCCACTCAGACCAGCGCAACACACACTAACACACCACCACCACGTCAGTGTTACTGCAGTGCTGAGAATGATCCACCACCCAAATATGGTTACCTAAGATAATGTAAATGGTTACCTAAGATAACGGGGTCTAAGATATTTGCACAGTATACATGTATTTAAAGTATTAAAGTATTGCTCCTTGGTTCTGAAGTCGAGGTATCAGTAATCAGTATTGCTATGAAAAAAACTGGAGCCATACCCAGACATGCAGCCCATTCTGTTAGCAACATTAGCCTTGTAGCTACACTGCAAAACTAAACAAGAAAACTTCAGACGGCAAAGATGTCTTGGCTGATCAACTACATTTGGGGAAAGGGTAGGGGGGTGCGGGATTCAGTGCATGTAAATTCACTTATTTTGTTGAACTATCACTTTAAAGCAGCACACTTCAGTATGAATGTGAACACTTGGTCGCATAAACAGAATGACAGATGAGTGTATATACTGGAAGAATTTCGTCTGGTTTGTTTTACCTGCTGGAAGCCAGGTCCAAGAGTGAGTGAGATTTACTCAGGCCTGTAGAGAGAGGGACAGCTGGAGAGAGAGAGAGAGAGAGAGAGACAGAGAGAGAGAGACAGAGAGAGAGAGAGACACACACACACACTTAGACATACACACAAGTTTACTTTTTTCAGGCAGCAGAGACCGAGAGCTACTGATAAACACGCTAAACACTGATATGCTTTGTAGTTACAGCACAGCTGTTTAATCATTATGTGAGTGGAATCACATACTATGGCTAATAGCCTCACATAGACAGGCCTGCTAAACACTACATTTCCCTAAATGCATTGCTGAACTTAGTTCTGCAAAAGGAGTTGCTGTGATTATACAGATACTTGCAAATATATAATACATATGGCACATGTTATTGTTACCTATACACTATATACAGTTAGCCCCTTTTACCCTGTTCTTCAGTGGTCAGGACTTCCCATGGACCCTCACAGAGCAGGTACTATTTGGGTGGTGGGTCATTCTCAGCACTGCAGTGAGCAGTGAGTAACAAGTGCTCGAGTTTTTAAACACCTCAGTGTCACTGCTGGACTGAGAATAGTCCACCAACCAAAAATATCCAGCCAACAGCGTCCTGTGGGCAGTGTCTTGTGACCACTGATGAAGGACTGGAGGATGACCAACACAAACCGTGCAGCAGCAGATGAGCTATCGTCTCTGACTTTACATCTACAAGATGGACCGACAAGGTCGGAGTGTCTAATAGAGTGGACAGTGAGTGGACACAGTGTTTAAAAACTCCAGCAGCACTGCTGTGTCTGATCCACTCGTACCAGCACAACACACACTAACACACCACCACCACGTCAGTGTTACTGCAGTGCTGAGAATGATCCACCACCCAAATAATACCTGCTCTGTGAGGGTCCTGTGGGGGTCCTGACCATTGAAGAACACGGTGAAAGGGGGCTAACAAAATATACAGAGAAACATCTGTAACTGTAGAACTAAACAGTGCTCATATATGGTGAGTGGAGCTGATATATATATATACAGCGATGTTATACAGTATATAATACATATGTTACCTGGTGTTGGTGTGAGAAGTGTAGCAGTGCCGTTGGGTAAAGCTGGCATGCTGAGGGGGTCGGGGATCAGTGGCATGGGCAGTGCTCCGGGCAGCATGGGGGGCACAGCTGGCATAGAGGTCAAAGAGGTCATAGAGGTCACGGAGGTCATGGAGGTCACAGAGGAGCCGAGAGGCATGGGCGTGAGCATTGGCATCGATGGCATGACCGACAGGTTAGGCATTGACCCCATACCTGCGAACCCAACAAAATTCTTTCTAAATCATACATTCTTTATATATATATATATATATATATATATAATATATATATATATATATATATTCATACATTTCAGGAATTTATGACACACTTTTTGCCAACAAATTGGCCTTAGGAGACCTTTTACAGCACTTCATACAGCCACTTGAAGTATATATCAGTGTATATACAGCATACACTGCCTGAAGACTACAGTATATAGTATATATTTACATTATTTACACATATACAGTATATATTAGTATATTTACAGCATATCTCAATTTACCTAGTGTATATTTGAGAATATGGTGCTGCCTAAAATCTATAATTTATACACAACAGTCCATAGTTTATATACAGTACATATCAGCTGGTTAGATCAGATGACTACACACTCAGTCCTCACCGAAGCGTGCTGATGAGGTCATCGCAGGGGCGGGCGTCTGCTTCATGATGACGGGCAGAGAGGAGGGCAGCGGCTGACCCTGCAGCTGCAGCTTAATCAGCTTCATGGCAATGGAGAACTCTAATCTGTCCATCTTTCCGTCCCTGCCCATGTCGGCCAACGCCCTGGGAGATGGGGAGATCGGAGAGAGGGAGAGGGAGAACAGGAAGGAGAAACCTTCTTCAGGGAAAGAAGTTCTTCACTGGCACTCACCCAGAACACAAAAGCAGAACAATAACAAACACTGGTTTGCGCTGTAATCCGTTTCATTTTGACAGAAGCGCAAGGCTTTAATTCTGCTTCCTGTGGGAATCGTTCTGCATCCTATTCGAGGACATGCAGTGAAGTTTACGCCGGCCCGTAAACCGCGGATGAGGAAGAGGTTGAGAAACATTAAGAAACCTCCACCCAACCTATCCACATCACCATCACCACCACCGGCCCATTCCAGTAGCCAGAGCCAAAAACAGCTCCACCCCACACTCACACACACGCTTCACACTCAGCAGCATTCAGGGACACGGGAAGGTGCTTTAAGGAGGGGTTGCTGGAATTTTGGGTAGTGTGTAGCTGACATATACAGTAACATTATGCAAAATTATATGACTTTTTAAAAGTTTCTGTGGATATTTTACATGAAACAGAATGTGTAACAATGTGCTGTAATGTGACGAGAGACTGTAATACACACTGACACATCAGACTGCTGCTGCTGACACATCAGACTGCTAATTTATGCAAATTAGCTGAGTAGCAGCCAATCAGATGTTGATATGTAGAGTTGCCAGACTTCAACCGGGCCTTTTTTTGTTTGTTTATTTGGGGAATTTGTCTTTTATTGTGTCTTTTCGTCTGTTTTTTGTGTTTTACTGTTTGGTAATTATACGGGTATGGGTTGCCAGATTGGGTAGAATATCATTTTATGTTCTTCGTATGACTTGTTTGACAATAACTTTATCTGTGATGTTTCTCCATTACTTTGTAGTAATAAATAATAATAATAATGATGATAATGAAACAATAATGATAATAATGAAAATAAATAAATGATTAAAGTGAAACACATATCTTGAACTCTCCTTATTCTCACAGAATATTCAAGATAATACTTGATAGAATATTAGAAAATAAAAATATTTTATATGAGACATTATTGTGCTGGTTGATTTTGTTAGCTTTAAAAAACAATATTTGGCAGCTACAAGAATAAAGAAATAGCCAACAGCTATTTGACAACTTTGCAAAGTTTGACAACATATGAATAAAGCCTTATATAAAAATACACGTAGGTCTTTAATATGCTGTTTAATGGTCTGTTGTTTTTTATTATTATTTTTAGCAGTTGCAGCTAAACAATCCAGAAATCTGGGGCTCCTGCAGCCCCTCAGGACCCCCACTTCCCACATCACTGACAGTACCACAAACGCAGTCACACACACTGCTGAAATATAATTCATCTTAACCAGTCGATCTGCAGCAGAGTGAACACAGTAGAGTGTTTGTGGAATTTGCCACTTTAATTACACATTCGGTGTTTGTGTTGTACAAACAGTTTCAGAGAAACAGGAACAGTGAGCTAAATATGGCGACAACAAGAACGACATGTTTACAGAATCAACCAGAGGGACACAGAGACAGAGAGAGAGAGAGAGAGAGAGGTGGGGGGGGGGAGAGAGAGAGAGAGGAAAAGAGAAAGAGAGAGAGAGAGAGAGAGAGAGAGAGAGGGAGAGAGGAAGATGAAAAGAGAGAGCGGGAGATAGTGAGAGAGCAGGAGAGAGGGAGGGAGAGAGAGAGGGAGAGAGAGAGAGAGAGAGAGGGAGAGGGAGAGAGAGAGAGAGAGAGAGAAAGACAGAGAGAGAGACAAAGACAGAGAGAGAGAGAGAGAGACAGGAAAAGAGAGAGAGAGAGTGAGAAGAAAAGAGAAAGAGAGGGGGGGAGAGGAAAAGAGAAAGGGGGGGAGAGAGAGGGAGAGAGGAAGATGAAAAGAGAGAGAGAGAGAGATAAGAGAGAGAGCAGGAGAGAAGGGGAGAGAGAGAGAGAGAGAGAGAGAGAGAGAGAGAGGGAGAGAGAGAGAGAGAGAGGGAGGGAGAGAGAGAGAGAGAGAGACGGGGGAGCTGTAAAAGAGAATAACTAAACTGGAATTCGTCAGAAATGAACAGAATACAATTCAACAAATAAGCTGGGCTGTGAAACGTTTACAGACGGACTGGAACAAAAGAAAATATTGACCTGATGCCGCTTTAGCTTTATGGCTCTGACTGTAAAGTGTTGAAGTGTCAAATTTTGGGCGGAAGTAATTACTCATATTGAAGCACGTTTACTACGCTGTCTGGCTCCTTTGCTTTCCTTCTTTCTTCATTCTGCAGAGCTGCTGTGCTGATCCACTGTGCTCACCTTCAGCTCTGCCTGGGCGAATCACAGCTGTGGTGCAATAACACATTAACACATTGACTCTTCTGTTCTGTGTCTTAAAGGTGTCTTACCAGATCTCAGCAAGCACTGACGCAGGAAGGCCAGACTGCAGGAAAAACTTGCGCGCTTGATCTCCTACACAGGACACACACACATACACACACACACACACACACACACACATACACATACACACACACACACACACACACACACAAACAGTCAGCACCAAAGTAAAAACAGGACACAAACTTACACTGTATGTCCAAAAGTTTCCAGACAGCCCTTCTAATAAGTGAATTCAGTTACTGTAAGGTCACCACTGTTTGTGTGTATGTTGTGATGTTTCCCTGTTGGCTGAGGAGTTTGCGGCTGCTTGAGTGACGCTGTATTGCGGCTACAAGGCTGCCTGGACCAAGGACCTGATTGACGCTGCAGCTGTGGGGCTGCCTGGATCGGTAGTGTTCGGCTCCTCATGCAGGAGGCCTCTTGGGCCAGCTGCCTAAGCACTGCTACATCGCAGCTACATGGCTGTCTGGGCCAGCTGCTGGGTGACACTGCACTGCAGCTATGAGGCTGTCTGGACTGGTGGCTGCAGGAAAATGAAGGACATTTTCGGCCTTCGAGGTTTCCTAGGGCGGCTGCCTGTGTGGCACACCATAGTTATAGAGTGAGACTTTCCCCGCGGCTAAGGACTCTTTTCAGACTAACTAAGTGACTCTATACTGTGGTCATTGTAATCCTCCCTCGCTAACTGTTGGAAATGTAGAGTTTTGAGTGTGTGTGTGTGGGGTGTGTGTGTGTGTGTGTGTGTGTGTGTGTGTGTGTGTTCTGTTTGATTTCTTGTTGTTTATGTATTTTGTTATTTTCTGATCCTTTTGTAAAGTGTCCTTGGGTTTGAGAAAGGCACTATATAAACTGAACTTATCATTATTAATGTAACAGTGTGATGTTACTATTAACTGTCACAAATCAAACAGGTATGCTTTTAATGTCATGATGACTAACTAGACTACATAGCAAAAACAAGCATGCAACATAAGCTGTTATGACATCACACTTTATGCCACCATACATTAAGCTTCAGGATCATATAAATGGTGATAAAAATGCACAATGCTGTGCTTTTCAGGAGAAACGCTGGAGCAGCAGGTCTACAGGCTTTTAGGAAGACAGTGGATTTGTGTTCATGTGTGTCTGTGATTCAGACTGTAGTCTGAGTTCTGACTGAGATAAAGACGTCAGTGTTTCTACACTTCACACAGCAGAGTGTTTGCTTTTGACCCGGATTTAACTTCCACCCACTGCAGGGCTGCTGGGTGTGTGTGTGTGTGTGTGTGTGTGTGTGTGTGTGTGGGTGTGTGTACACTTACCTGACACGTATCCCAGCGTGGGAGAGAGAGAGTCAAACTGTTTATCATGTTTCCCTCTCTCTTCAGGGGTTATAGCCCAAATATTAAACCCACCTGAGAGAGAGAGAGAGAGAGAGAGAGAGTCTTTTACACACACCCTATCACATCTGTCTACTTATTCATTTATGCATTCATCTGTGTTCATCCATCCAAATATATATCCATCCATCCATCCATGCATTCATCCATTCATTCATCCATCCACCCACCCAAGAAAGAGAGAGGGAAAAAAGAAAGAGAGAGAGAGGGAAAGAGAGACAATGAGAGGGAGAGACAGAGACAGAAAGAGAGAGAGAGAGGGACAGGGAGAGATAGAAAGAGAGGGGGAAAGAGAGAGAAAGCGAAAGCAGGAAATAGAGAGAGAGATGGGGAGATAGAGAGACAGAGAGAGGGAAAGAGACAGAAAAAAGAGAGGGAAATAGAGAGACACAGAGAGAGAGGAAGAAAGAGAGACAGGGGGAGAGAGAGAAAGAGGGAAAGAGAGAGGGAGTGAAAGAAAGAGAGGGAAAAAGAGAGAGGGGGAAGAGGGAAAGAGAGAGACAGAGAGAGGGAAAGAGAGGGGGAGAGAGGGAAAAAGACAGAAAGGGAGAGAGTGAGAGCGAGAGACAAAGTAAGAGAGAGAGAGAGAGAGAGAGAAATAGAGAGAAGACAACACTAAGGTATAATAATGATTACTCATCATAAAGCGCTAACATTTCCACTGACACTCTCTGTTTACTGGACTCCTCTCTACACCAGTCTAACATGTCATGTCTGACCTCATGTACAGGCTACCACAGCTACCATTAACACTACACTGTTCTGGGACTAAACTGCAGGGTCAGTGCAGTTTCACTAAAAATCCCCTTTAGTCCTGGTTTAGGCTTAATCTGGGTCTGAGTCATGCTTCACTGTAGTTCCTATAAAATGTATACCGGTTACTGCACACATCGTAGTAGTTACTGTAAAACACAAGGTGCTGTATACAGTACAGTGAACTGTAAATGAACTCGATCACAGCAGTAAAGCGTAAAGCTACTGATCAGTTATGAAAACAAAACATAGAGCAGATACTGAAGAACTCATAACAGTTACTGAATAATTCATAGTACTTACCAAATAATTCATAACAGTTACTGGATAAGTCATGGGAGTTACTGTAAAATGTGTAGACACTAACTCATAGTAGTTACTGACTAATTTATAGTAGATACTAAATAATTGGTAGCAGTTACTGAATAATAATTCTAAAGATTAATAACTGAGTAATGAGGCTGCAGTTTATGGACGTAAGCTCCTCTGAAATACTGTAACTGAACTCAATCACAGCAGTAAAGCGTAGTGCTTCTGATTTATTGTACGCAAAAAAACACTTCAGTGAAGAACAAACAAGGCTGGAAAAATACTTTAAGAAATACTTTGAAGTACTGATGGCTAAATACTGAATAGATTGTACTCAGTAACACATTCCATTACAATACACAGCTAAAAGTAATTGATTTATTTTATGCCGTTTCTTGCTGTTACTGGTTGGCAGTTTTGTTCATGTAATTGTTCTGTTATTATGGTTCCTGAAACACGTAATTATTCAAATTAATTCAAAAATGAAGACAAACTTCTCATCTTCAGTTTGAAATCTTTTTGAACTTTTCGTCACTGGACAGACGAATGCGCTCGGAGGAAAGCGCCGACCTCCAGATCTGTTACGTCAGCTAACAGACGCCTGCACTGACTAGCATCGCACTGAGGGGGGGAAGAAGGGGGGCCATCCTACCCACCCAAAGCGAGGCCTCTTGGACTCCCGGCCACGGATGGCTTAGTTTGACACTTACCGCCTGCCTCAGTCCACCAGCGCTCCCATACTTCCACTGCTCTTTCATGACCTAAGCCAACAATTCGCCATATCCCAGTAATGAGATCTCACAAATTTGACCGTAAAGTCTGGTTCCATTGACTTACATTAAACGTAAAGTAGGTTTTTTCCTTCTCCTGTAAAGTTACCATATTGGAGATACGAGGTTTTCTTCTGATTACAGCCATATATATGACTGAATCCAGACTTGATTTATTATATAAATTAATACTTAATTACTGTATTTTGACTACATATTCCCAATGCTTGTATTCCATTACATCGCAATCCTGAGGGGGGGTGGGGGGAATTAGGTGGGTCGGCCTGAGGGACAGAGGCTTGAGCTGGAAAACAAGAGGCTGGCTTTTAGATTTCCATCGACCTGTAGACTCACATTTAATGGACAAATCAAATACCTTCATATTCAGCCTCTCTCTCTGTCTCCCATTATATATCTCTCGTCCATTATCTCTCTCACTCTCTGTCTCTCCCTCTCTCTCTCCCATTATCACTCTCCCTCTCTCTCACTCACTCACTCGCTCACTCTCTCTCTACCCTCTCTCTCCATTATCACTCTTCCTCTCTCTCACCCTCTCTCTCTCTCTCCCATTACCACTCTCCCTTTCTCTCAGTCTCTCTCTCTCTCGCTCACTCTCTCTAATGGCCTCTAGTCTAATACCTGCTCTAAATAAAGAAGAAGAAGAAGAAGAAAAAGTGAGAAACGTTGCATGATTACTGAGAAAGTTTACTTCTACGAAGCCCTGCTGGTGACAACCTTAATAAATAAAAATAATGCGTGGCCACGACTTAGTAAGGCGTGGGAACAAGATAATTAAGTCGTGGCCATAACTTAGTAAGGCGTGGGCACGAGACCCTAATGAGTGGCCATGACTTAGTAAGACACAATCTCTTTTCCACGCCTTACTAAGTCGTGGTCACGACTTAATTATCTCATTCCCATGCCTTACAAAGTCGTGGCCGCTCATTAGCATCTCTTTTATTATTATTATTATTATATCATTATTATTATTATTATTATTATTATTAGTCGTCAGCAGGCAGGTTTGATGGGTCCCATAAGAAATAAAACCAAATTATGATCCAGTTTCCACAACAAATGGGAAAATTCTGGTCACATTTCAGTTGTTGTTACCACACGATGTGTGTCACGACTCCCTTCGGCTCTGAGGTCTTATTGGACTCCATCTCCCAGAACCCCCTGGGGGATCACGTGACTCCTGCCTCACTCTCGTGCTCCAATCAGCGCTCTAGCTCTCCTGAGTACTGATCATGTCCACCTGCAGTTCACTGATCAGTTTAGTGTAAAGCCTGGGCTTGTAGGATAAGTTCTTTGCGAGGTGTTGCTTCGGTCTCTAGAGCTGCTGAGCGTTCATATCTGGTTCTGACATTTTGCCCTGTTTTTGACTTGCCTTTTGCCTCACCCCTTTTCGGATCTGACCTATGCCTGTTTACTGACTTCGATTTTGGGTTGTGTTTTTATCAGTAAAGCCTCTCATTCTACTTTTCCCCGTGAGCGTCTGCGTCATTCTTTCATGTTACAATGTGATCTCAAACTCAAATTTAAAGTGATGGGGACAAAGCTGAGCATTTCCAAAGTGGTGGGGACCTGCCCCCATTATCGCCAGCCTAAAATCACGCTGTGTGTGTGTGTGTGCCTAATTTCATAGGTCTTGTGTGAGGACCTCAAACGTCAACCGTGTTTATGTATTCAAAAGAAACAGGAAATACCACTGTGAGCCCAGTGGCACTTCCTGGTGGTAACATCTAATCCAAACATCTCTCTCACTCACACACAGCTAACCCAAACATCCACTCCTAAAGCCCTTCAAAGCTCCTCCAGAGGACCAGCATGAGCAACAACACAGCCACAGACCTCTCTCACACCAGAGATAGCCGTAACCTCTGGAGTTTACATTTTAAACTGCAGCAACCTTCAGAGCTGAGAGCAAAAACACACGGCACACAGAGACAGCGGCCAATCAGAGCCTCCGAACCAGAGCAGGTTAACACCTGAACTTGAACCCTGCTACATAACACTGACACAATCATGTGATAAGCATGTAACAGCAGGTTTCATATGCCTTCAGGAGCTATAATCACAGATTATGGCTGATAATATAACACTGTCATGTTACCTTTGCTGTTAATTGTCATGACATTTGTTCATAATGTTTGATTTTATGCCGGTTAACTAAAGAACACAGCAAAAATCAGCGTGCTCTAGAACAATGTGAATGGATGGAGAACATTCTAGAACAACATGAAAGGAGTGGGCATTCTAGAACAGTGTGAATGGATGGGAAACATTCTAGAACAGTGTGAATGCTTGGGAAACATTCTAGAACAGCATGAATGGAATGGACGTTCTAGAACAGTGTGAATGTGCAGAACATTTTGGAACAGTGTGAATGGACAGAGAACATTCTAGAACAGTGTGCATGAGGAGAATGCACTAGAACAATGTTCTTAAACTGTGTAAAAGGGGACAACATTCTAGAACAATGTGAATAGAGTGATCGTAGAACAGAATGTCTAAAACAGTGTGAATGAGGAGAACATTGTAGAACGGAACATTCTAAAACAGAACATTCTAGAATGGAACATTCTAAAACAGAGTGCATGGGGAGAACATTCTAGAACAGTGTGAACAGAGTGAACATAGAATGGAAGGTCTAAAACAGTGTGAATGAGGAGAACATTCTAGAATAAAACATTTTAAAACAGAACATTCTAGAATGGAACACTGTAAAACAGTGTGAATGAGGAAAACATTCTAGAATGGACATTCTGGAACTGTGCATGGGGAGAACAGTGTGAATGGAGGAACGATAGAACAGCGTGCATTCTAGAAAAGACTGAATGAGGAAAACATTCTAGAACAGTGTGATTGGCGGGAACACTAGAACAGTGTGAATAGAGTGAACATTCTACCACAGTGTGGATGGAGTAGACATTCTAGAACTGATCATTCTAGAACAGTGTGAATGAGGAGAACATTCTAGAACAGTATGAATGAGGAGAACATTCTAGAACAGTGTGAATGAGGAGAACATTCTAGAACAGTGTGAATATGGAAACATTCTAAAATAGTGTGAATTAAGAGAATATCCTAGTAACAGTGAGAATGGGGGAACCATTCTAGAACAGTGTGAATCGATGGAGAACGTTCTAGAACAGTTCGTTCTAGTTTGGTATGTAGCAG